AGAAAGAGACAGGGTAAGAAATTGCTCTGGGTGGGTAGGTAGAGAGTGGATGTGCAGGCTGGCGACTCAGCCTCGGGTGGAAGAGCTTAGAAACTGATTGAGGACAGGAAACCTGAGTGTATGAGAAGGCTTCCTGGCACCTGTTTGCACAACTTCAGCTCTAGTACGTCTAGATGGATGACACATCTCGATGATAAGATGGATGAAACATTAAAATTATATAAAGATCCAGATAAATGGTATAAAATCCCGAAGAGATGGAAAAATACACAAATACAATATAATCATCCATGATATGCAGATCACTTACCTGTATATCTTCTTGCAGCTGGTTTTCCATTGCGTCCTCATTATAAGCTTCTGTCACTGTGGTCGTTTTCGTTGTGTCTGGAGTGCGACGCCTGTACACTCTGTAGAGTACAGTGTACTTATATGTCAACACAAGACTACCTTAATGTGGATTACTATCTTATAGGTTTGGCCCTCCAACATAATCCAGGAAAACTAATAAATATCACTTATTTTTTTTTATTCCAGTCATTTGATCCTCTTAGACAATATGCGACCAATAGCATTCTGCTAAGTTTTATATACCTATTTACGGCTATGTGACCAGAGCGAACAGATGTAAGGAGACATGCTCAATGCTGCCAGTATGAGCCACAGAATCGAGCCCGGGTAGTTTGTTCTGAGCAGGTGCTGTCTCTGAGCCACTACTCTTAACGGGCCACCAGTAAGCTTCAGCATAATCTCGAAGACCATTACACTGTTTTTTTTTAAATACTTTGCATATTATTAAAAGCAAAATTTAAAAGATACGAAGAAACAAAATATGAATACATTTTTCCTTCCCTCGAGCAAAAATGTTCCTCTGAACGAGTCTGCATGGACTTCCTACTCGTTTCCGCAACATTGCGAGTTGCAATAAGGCCTAGAGCTATCATTCAACTTCCCCTGTGTATGTTTTGCATCTTGTGTCGCTTGTTCGCGATTTTTGCATAACGTTTACCTAATTTGAACATGATACAGTGAAGTACAAAGGAATACAGTTATTACAGTGTAGCATGCCAAAGCCCCTTGTATACAGATCATTATGGGCAGGCTTAAAATTAACTTAAGATTAACTAAGCAATGATATATTAAGTGGTAAAAACATTATTGTAAACAGATAACAATTTGTAATAAAGTTGGTAGAATTACCGACAATATGTAAAGTAAAAGGACACAAGTGCAACTAATGTGACATTTATTGTGGCAACGTTTTGGCTTGATAAAGCTCCTGGAGAGCGAAACGTTGCCACAATAAATGTCACATTAGTTGCACTTGTGTCCTTTTACTTTACAGATAACAATTTAGCACAAATAAGTATTACAAAGACAGGTCATGTGGTCATTTACTGTGTTGCTGTACATTCAATAGAATGGAGTATTCTGTTAGGTAATGTAATTAAAAAAATAACAAAGTTTGATTGGGTCACAGGTTTGACATTTATGAGATACAATAATGAGAAACATTTATGAGATACAATAATGAGAAACATTTATGAGATACAATAATGAGAAACATTTATGAGATACAATAATGAGAAACATTTATGAGATACAATAATGAGAAACATTTAGGAGATACAATTTATGAGATACAATTATTCATTATTTATTTAGTTGTGGGTGAGTAAGTGATCTTTGAGAAGAGACTTGAATTTATAAACAGACAGTGTTTCTTTTATATTCACAGGTAATGAATTCCAGATTTTTGGGCCTTTTATGTGCATTGAGTTTTTGCATAGTGTGAGATGGACACGAGGAACATCAAAGAGTGATCTGTGCCTTGTGTTATGGTCGTGTGTTCTGTTGAGGTTGGTAAGGAGACGTTTGAGGGGAGGGTTAATATCAGAGTTAAGTGTTCTATGTATGTAATAGGTGCAGTAATAAGTATGGATGTTTTGTACGGTGAGTAGGTTGAGAGTTTTGAATGTTGGTGGAGTGTGCTGCCTGTAGTGAGAATTTGTTATCATTCTGACTGCAGCCTTTTGTTGGGTAATTAGTGGTCAGAGATGGTTTATTGTTGTTGAGCCCCATGCACAAATTCCATAGGTGAGATAGGGGTAAATAAGTGAGTGATATAGGATATAAATTACTGACATGTTGATGAATAAGACACATGTACAATACTTGAGTATGGCAAGTGAAGCCATTGGTGATGTTAACGGAAACATGTGGCATTAAACTATAGTCTGAGTAAGGTGAGTAAAGGTAGTCAGTCACCAGCTACATTTACTCATAAGCTAAACAGAGGTTGGGCTATCATATAGATAGATTAAGGTAAGCAAAAGTAACTGGAGGGCATAAAATCATTAGTAATTGTAGTACATGTGAACAGACGTAGCTGGTATTTTGAAAGTGTCAGGAGGCCTGGTCACACCAGGAGGCCTGGTCACAGACCGGGCCGCGGGGGCGTTGACCCCCGAAACTCTCTCCAGGTAAACTCCAGGTTAATCACTGTATTAAGGTATATAATATCAATAATATGGTGAATAAGGCATATTTATTTTAAGTTATCCCATGAATAAGGAAAGATCCTGGACTTCACCTTACGGAAGCAGATAAAGGAAATGCGATAATAATCATGGACAAGGTAGATATAATGGTAAAATGAACAAGTTAAAAGACAAGGGAACTCTAGCGCCCCTTAAGATACACAACAATTTTGAATATTCGAAGCTGATCGGAAGAAATATTCTCCAGGAATCAAGAAAAACTGTGATGAATGGTTTTGAAAACCTACAAGTTGAAGAATTGAGACACTTATGCAACACATGGGAATCTATATTGAAGAAACGTTTCGCCACACAGTGGCTTCATCAGTCCAATACAAAGTTGAAATGGGTAAGGAGAGTAGAAGTTTTGAGGTAATCAGTCCCTCAACCTGGAATCGATGTGTTCCTACAAGAGTGATGGACTGAACACATCGATTCCAGGTTGAGGGACTGATTACCTCAAACTTCTCCTCTCCTTACCCATTTCAACTTTGTATTGAACTAATGAAGCCACTGTGTGGCGAAACGTTTCTTCAATATAGATTCCCATGTGTTGCATAAGTGTCTCAATTCTTCAATCAAGAAAAACTGTTATACGAATTTGTTCATTAAAAAGGTATATTAATAACCATTCTCCGGTATTAAAATTAAAGATAATATCTCAATTTGTTTAATAAAAATAGTGAAATATATGATGCACTACTCAGTAATATACAAACCTTCCTCATAGTAAAACTGACCCATCTTGAAAGTTTGAACCCATTCAGATGAGTCATTCTCAAGTTATCACAGAGGAACCAATAATTACTTCGTTTATATTTATTACAAAAAATGAATTTGTTCCAACAGCCTAAAACTAGGAAAAAAATATTATTTGACGATGACAATTTAATTAATGAAAAAATGCTAGTTTAAGCAATCGCTTACGCTTAAGGGTGACTGAGAAAGGTTGTTCTAACAGGTCCATTGTCTCGTAACCAAACACCACCACACGTCCATCTAATGTCATTACAGTACGAGACTTCTAGCGTTATCAAGCTGAAGATGGTTGAAATTGCTACAGAAACACCTTCAAGTTAGCCAGAAATACACACACACTCGTGTACGACAACAACAAGAGTTCTTACCGTCGGAATGGAGAATCGGAAAAAGGTGTGTGGAACTTGTACGAGTACCTGGTCAGAAAAATAAGAGTGATTGATTACTGAATGTGGGGTGCAAAATTTCATATTTCATGTGGAAAGCTTAATAAGAAAAGTGTTTCTGGACTTTTTCCAGAGAGCTGGAAAATTAGACAGGTAAAAGGAAAGTACCGAGTATCACAGACCTAGATAATATAGAGAATTTCTTGCCAGAAATATACAAGGAGAGGAAGGTAGAGAGCACAGAGCTGAGGTAGGGAAGGCATAGAGCACAGAGCTGAGGTAGGGAAGATACAGAGCACAGAGCTGAGGTAGGGAAGGTATAGAGCACAGAGCTGAGGTAGGGAAGATATAGAACACAGAGCTGAGGTAGGGAAGATATAGAACAGAGCTGAGGTAGGGAAGATATAGAACATAGAGCTGAGGTAGGGAAGGTATAGAGCACAGAGCTGAGGTAGGGAAGATATAGAACACAGAGCTGAGGTAGGGAAGGTATAGAACACAGCTGAGGTAGGGAAAGTATAGAGCACAGAGCTGAGGTAGGGAAGGTATAGAGCACAGAGCTGAGGTAAGGAAGATATAGAACACAGAGCTGAGGTAGGGAAGATATAGAACACAGAGCTGAGGTAGGGAAAGTATAGAGCACAGAGCTGAGGTAGGGAAGATATAGAACATAGAGCTGAGGTAGGGAAGATATAGAACATAGAGCTGAGGTAGGGAAGATATAGAACATAGAGCTGAGGTAGGGAAGATATAGAACATAGAGCTGAGGTAGGGAAGATATAGAACATAGAGCTGAGGTAGGGAAGACATAGAGCACAGAGCTGAGGTAGGGAAGATATAGAACATAGAGCTGAGGTTGGGAAGATATAGAACACAGAGCTGAGGTAGGGAACGTATAGAGCACAGAGCTGAGGTAGGGAAGATATAGAACACAGAGCTGAGGTAGGGAAGATATAGAACACAGAGCTGAGGTAGGGAAAGTATAGAGCACAGAGCTGAGGTAGGGAAGATATAGAACACAGAGCTGAGGTTGGGAAGATATAGAACATAGAGCTGAGGTAGGGAAGATATAGAACATAGAGCTGAGGTAGGGAAGATATAGAACATAGAGCTGAGGTAGGGAAGATATAGAACATAGAGCTGAGGTTGGGAAGATATAGAACACAGAGCTGAGGTAGGGAAGATATAGAACATAGAGCTGAGGTAGGGAAGATATAGAACATAGAGCTGAGGTAGGGAAGATATAGAACACAGCTGAGGTAGGGAAAGCATAGAGCACAGAGCTGAGGTAGGGAAGGTATAGAGCACAGAGCTGAAGTAGGGAAGGTATAGAACACAGAGCTGAGGTAGGGAAAGTATAGAGCACAGAGCTGAGGTAGGGAAGATATAGAACACAGAGCTGATGTTGGGAAGACATAGAACACAGAGCTGAGGCAGGGAAAGTATAGAGCACAAAGAAAACACGCCAGCAATCCTGCCATTATGTAAAACAATTACAGGTTCCTGTTTCACACTCATTTGTCAGAATGGTCGTACTTTCCTGGGTAGCTGCTGTCTACCAAACAACATAAAAGACAGCGAACTTTGTATATTCTCAGAAGCGAATGAGACACCAATACCATTGCTTGGGTATAACAGTCTTCATTTTCTTCTTCAGTTCGTCCTCGAAGACGGTAGCAACGACTAGGACAGCCATCAGTGCGAGGCCTCCCACCAACCCCCCGACAATAACTCCAGTGTTACCGCCCATCTCAGTCTTGACTTGTATCCGGACAGCATCTCCCCAGCCTGCCGCTGTACTTGCCTGAAAGAGGAAGTGAAACTTAGGTTCGAGCTGCCACTGCCTGATAAATGCTCATCAGGTTTGAGTTGATTTCAATAAAATCAGTTATGGGAAATAACATTATATGAAGTGACTTTTTCTTCTCATTTAGCATCACAGAGTATAACATTTAATAATTTATTATCTATTTTCTTTAGTATACCATATAATTTAGTTTTTGCTGCTTTCACCTGCGAGCATAAATGTCACCAGATATATTCAAATTCAAATTCAAAGTTTATTCTCTATAAGGATTACAATGCTGAGTTTACAGAAATTTGGTTATTGTGTGACCCAGAAGTGGTATTCTCCCTCCCCCCCTCCCCCATCCCCCCCTCCCCCCTCCCCCTTTATATAATGTAAGTCTCCACAAATCAATATCGATAACGTTCAATAATAATACTAATAATAATAAGTTTATTATTTCTTTGTAAAGGTTACAATGTGTAATTACAATTTCGATTTGCTAAGTACAAAGATCGCCACTATCATGCCCAGGCATTTCAGGCGAATTTACACAAACAAATCCGAAGTTAATCCGGATCTTTCACTAAGAATTTAATGATAATGTAATATAATAATCTTTATTTACTACCAGTACATGTACAAGGTATACAGTTGACATCAGTGACATACTAGTACACAGAAAGTCGCTTTTTTACTGATGGGTGAATATAAACAACCGTGTAAGGAAACACGTCGAATGTTTCCACCCCTTCGCCGGGAATCGAACCCGGACCCTCGCCGTCTGAGGCGAGAACTTTGCCAGCAGGCCACGGGGCACCGTGCCCTGGTTGAGCAAACCAAAAGAGCCGTTCTCAGTTTACCGCACAAAGCTCCTGGAGAACGAAACGTTGCCACAATAAAATATCAAATTGGTTGTGTCTGTGTCCCTTAACTTACCTTCAAAGTAACATCGTAGTGTGAATGTGGACGAAGACCGGAGATTGTGTAGGTGGTGGAGTTAGCTGTGAGGTTGGTGAAGTGACCAGGCCAGGCTAGCTGGTAGGCTGTCAGCTCACCATTAAGCTCTTCGGGTTGAACCCAAGACACAGTCACGCTCTTTATGCTTGAAAACGTTTGGTTAAACTGAGCTGGCATCCCAGGAACTGTCAGTGACAAAAAGAATAAAAATCATAATTAAATTAATTTTGAGTAAATGAATGTATTTCGTTCACGGAGCGATCTGAGAGAAGTATTCCAAGTACTAGACAATGGCAGAGTCCATCAACTGATGTCCTAACTTGTTCAGTGTTCAAATTAGTCCCTTTACAGCTCAAAACCAAGACGATCCTCCTCCAGTGTAAGCATCATATCCACCATTTTTTTTAGAGACCGTTCTAACACAGTGGTTCAACATCTTGTGCCACAAGCACACAAGTTCTAAGGTTCGCTGGACAAGCATAAACAGCCTTGGAAAACGATACGAACTGCTCAGGAATCGAACACGATTTTCAGCCACATTAGTGTTTGTAAATATCTCGGCAAATTGGTCGGAAGCCAGTCATTGTCCCTTGTTCCACTTGGCTTGAACTGAATATTGTAGAATCGGGAATTATAAAACATGATAACCAGTCATTATACAAAAATAGTGGCGGATTGTTCAAATTTGATTCATTTATTGTCGAGGTAATTGTACATTACCAAAAATCTGACTCTTATATGAATGCGTTGGATTGTCTTAAGTGTGGTTCTACACCGAGGAATTAGGGTCCATTTTCCCCACTTGTTTTGTTGGTGGCTAAACCAGTGTCTGCCTTAGAATCTTGTAGGACAGATAAACTATGGCAGTCTTCCTTTGAATAAATTACAGATGTCTCCTTTTAAATGGTCCCATTTTCTAGAAGTGCAAAAATTCCTAAGATAATTGCCAGATCTATCTATATTTGGTATGTAAAGTCATTTACATCAAATCAAGCCTCAGCCTCAGAATCTTGTGGAATAGATAAACCATGCATGTCTTCCTTTGGATAAATTACGGATGTCTCTCCTTAAATGAGTCTCTTGCAAAGGCTGGGACCAAGACTAGTGCCAGAATTGAGAATTTACTAAGAGGAGCTACTTCAAAAATGTTATCTAACAACCCCAAGACCAGAGGGAACATGTTTATAATAGAATATTCAGAGAACCAGACAAAGTAGATAGAGATATATTGTGATACACAAATAACCCGCACATAAAAGAGAGAAGCCCACGACGACGCCCCGGCCCGACTTGGACCATTTAGTTAGATATATTGTGAGACATGAGAGACTGAGACAGCTATGGGACACAGGGGACTGTTAAATACACGAGTACCAGCTCGTTAAGGAATACATTTTTAGTTTCAGGATAGCACAGAAAGTAAATGGAACAAACTAGATGAAGAGTACGTATAATCGTCTTATTCCTGGAAAGTCGAGAGACTGTCTTAAGTAACTCACCTGCCTGGGGTGTTGTCGAGCTGCAACAGTTTGATGCACCTACAACGTTCCTGACAACTAATCCTGCTACACACACAGTGTAGCTTGTCCACGGCGTTAAGTCAGTCAAGTCTACGTAAGTCACTGTAGAATCTTGTGTGTCGTATGTGTTGTAGTTTGACCACAGGACGTTCCCAGTGTAGTTTACCCTGTAGTTGAGCATTACGCAATTTGAGATAACATGAGGCCAGGAGACAGTCATCGTGCGAGGGGAAGTGGCCTCCCTACATAACACTGACGACGGTGCTGCTGGAGCTGGAAAACACAAAAAAAAATCTTGTTTAAGAAACACTCAACGAATTAATTTAACCAAGAAATAACATAAAAACTGCTCTACTTCACACGGGGACTAATGGTCTGGTTAATTAGCTATTGAATAAATCCCGAGTCACACTACTACACTTGATAAACCTGCATATTACTGCCTAAGGATCAATAAACGTTAGAGAAGCAAGGTATCAGGAATCCCCGTACAATCCTGCAGAAAAAAACGAGGTCAAACTTTTACATGTATTAAGCATAAATTTCAGCAATTGAAAGTGAAAATTGCATATATATATAATATATATATATATATTATATATATTATATATATATATAATATATATATATATATATATAATATATTACTGTACAGTTATTTTGATTTTTTAAATGTAAACATTTAAAATATACCACAAGGTTCGCAACCTCAGAGTGACGTTCCTTCATTATTTAATATCTGATGTCTCAAAAACCGACAATGACTGGAACCTCTCATCTTTTCAGAGAAGTTGTGGTGTGATACAATGTTCAGTAAACTGCCTCGTGAAGATAAGACATGAGTAGTGGAAGCTGAGTCAGCTCTGTCACACTGACATTATGTATAAAATATTGGTACGTCAGGATAAATAAGAGTCTCAGAACTTGTGAAGCAAGAATTTAGGCCACCAAATATATATGTAATCTTAACTGATATCATTATGAACAGAGTAAACTAGAACTAATTAGAACCCCTTGGAGAGCTGTGATATTAGATCAAACAAAAATGAGACTTAAATATAAGGGATCTTTTAGTTCTTTAGCATGATATTAAACGAAAAAAAAAACAGGGGATTTGGAGTATAATATAATTTAGTAAACGAATCTAGACTTATCACAACCCAAAAGCTTCACTAAAAGTTAAAATTTCTGCTTCTTTTATCTTATTCTCATCTGGTAATGAGAGGAACTCACATAATTTTATATTATCAAGAATGCAGCTACTTATATATAAAAGGAATATGGTTTTACTCACGAGTACCATCAGTGGTGACCAGGATGCTGCCATATTCACCATAACCCAAGAAGTTGGCTGCAGTAACAGTGATGTTGTAGTAAGTACAGGGTTCCAGGTTTGTGATAATATACTTGGTCGTTGTTCCTTCCACAACAGTCTCACTAAGATTATATATATTTGGTGGACTCCAGGTAACACTGTAGTTGGTTATTACGCCTCTGGGTTCCTCAGGAGGGACTCCAGCCTATCAACAGCGACCGATGCATCCTGGTATAGGTTGTAAACGTATTGCAAGGAGAGTCAGGGCTCTGTAACCATCTAAATGTTGCAATAAACTGTGTTGGTGAAATGAATAATTTATGACTAATGTAATGTACAAACTGTTCTAATTTTATCATTCATCTTCATCATCATTTTCCCCAAAAATAATAACATATCTCATCATCATTCATCCTTCATCATCACTCTTCATCATAATCATCATATCATCTCCATCATCATCATCCTTCATCATCATATCATCATCATTCATCATCAATCTTACATACAAGTTCTCACAAAATTCAGTGCAAACATAATACCAAAAATGAGACTCTCCGAGTAAGCTTGTTCCCCTGCCTGACTTAATACAAACACTTGATACTACACTTGCCTTAATTAAGTTATTGTAACCAGATTTTACGTAAGCTGGTTTTCTCTATTAATTTTGATCACCTAGGAGGACCGCATGTATTACCTCAAATATAATATTTCAAAACTATATAAATTTTGTATTGCCTACTTGCGAGTTCTCTTGTGCAATATTTATTTTTATTTATATATATAATATATTTTTATATATATATATTTATATATATTTATTCTATACATGTATATATAATATTAGATATATATTTATGTATATATATTATATATATATATTATTTATTTATCTATATATCTATTATATATATAATACAGGATATATATATATATTTTATTTATATTATTCATATATATATATATATATATATATTTATATATATTATATTGGCATACATGTATTTCTATATACTATATATATATATATATAGATTTTATATATAACATTTTATATATATTATTTATATAATATATATGTTTATATATATGTGCATGTATATATATTTATTTATAATATACATACATTAGATATTTGTATATATATGTATATATATATAATATTGACAATGTATATATATTTATATTATACATGTATTATATATATATATATATATATATTTATATATATATATTATATCATTTATTTATTTATTTTTATCTATATTTAAAATATATATATTTATATATTTATATTAATCTATTATAAATTATATATATATATATTTATTATATATATATATTTATATATATATATATTTATATATATATATATATATTTATATATATATATATATATATTATATATATATTTACATATATCTTCGAAAACTCACTGCAATATCCCACTGAGGCAGGATCGCCCAAAAGAAGGGGTTACTAGCCACTTTATCCCATACATTTAGTCTCCTCTTACGACATGTATGACGTTAGGGACGAAGATTCCTGTTCCACTTCCCCATGGAGATAAGAGGAAATAAACAGATCTAGTCGACAATACGAAGGGAAAACCACAGAGTGGTTTTTGTACATTTACGCTTGTTAACATGGTGTAGTGTGACCAAAGTGTAAGTAGGTTATAGCAAGAACTCTTCTCCAGGCTGCAGGGGACTGACATCCTCAAAATATATTTCTACAAGGTTGATGGATGATTACAATCTTCGTCATTTCTACTACTATTCTTGCAACCTCTGTATTGGTGAAGAAGTTACTGTGTAGACGAATCGTTTCATTAATAGTAGTTTCCCAAACAGTTATTGCACATGTTTCTGAATCATCAACTTCTCGGTATTTTATTATTTTTAAACATTGCTGTGTTTGTATACTCACGTCTTATGGTCTTACTTCTACGAGTGTGTTTCTCCTCTGTAATGTTTGTTCGTCTCTTTTCTCACGTCTCTCTCATTCAACAACTTCACTTGTTCAAGATTATGAGGTTAAAAATCTCCACTAAAATCACTACCCTGACCGGCGGGCTGTGGTTCGTACGTCTGCTTGATCCACCACGAGGCCAGGTCTCAGACCAAGCCACGGGGGCGCTGACCCCCGAAACCCTCTCCAGGTATACTCCAAGCTCAGGGGCTGACCACAAACTATTTCTTTAAGGATAGTGGATTGATCACATCGTCTTGACTTAGGTATTGTAAACTAATATTTGCAAGGATATCAAAGGAAAATACGACACTGCACAGTATCACCTGTGTGGGCTGTGGTCAGCGTGAAACTCTCCTCCATATATTTTAAACGTGTCCATGGACACAGAGCCAGAGAGTTAAACGATTTCATGCTTATGAAGTGTGCGGTCATAAATATACGCATTAAGTGTCGTTACATAAGGGCTGCGCAAGCCAAAACTAGTCACATAAGATTTTACAAAGAAGAAAACCTTCATGCTGTATGGGAAGGCTGGAGGTGACTACTGTATATCAGCTTAACGTCAAGGCAGAATACTACAATATGGGACAGCGCAGTTGTAGGTTCAGAGTTGTGCAGCACAGCAGAGGTCAGTAACTGAAAATAGTCTTCACATGTTTGTGATCGAATCACATCCCACGTCTCCAGGAGGAAGTATACTTTGGTCGCCATTTTTACATGCGGCTGTTTGTGATCGGAATCCTACTTTTGTGTAATGCCTTTAGGACTAAGAGATTAGTTTTTGGTGTGTCACGGCCATAGAAAGTCTCTGTAATCAGTTGGAAGATGCGCAATAGAGGGTGGATATGGAACCGGCATGACCGATGGCACAGAACTGATAGGTGTGATATGATGTGGGGATCTAGTAGCGGGTTAGAAGGTTCGCTTTTAAATCTTTGGCTAAAAAGAAATCGAAGCTGAGGCTATGTGCGGAGCCGGGAACATTGACACTGAAGGGATAAGACCTTGATTTACCAAATTACCACTACGACTGATGGCTGAGGGAAGATACACATGAAAAACGTGTGGTTTACGTTACAAATTATACGCGTCTTAACATAAAACCAAAATGAGGTTTGTCTCTTTATTGCAACTCCGCAGCCTAGTGGTCGAGAGAAGTCCAGTCGTGTTCAGGTCTTACATTAGTAAAAACATACTTGTTTGTCCTTCGTGTTATTGGTTACAGTTTTGGTAAATAGCTTAATCTCACAATAGAAGAAATGCTCGAGAGATGGAACAGATCCACAAATTTTACATACGCTGAGGGTCTCTCAGATATTTGTATACAGGATACACTGTTGCAATGGTTAGGGACATAGAACAAGGAAAAAAAACTCACAGAAGGTAAAAAATGAATAAAACAGATAAGGAAAACTTTCCTGAATACAAGAACAATGAGCAAGTAACATGCACTAGGGAAGTGGTAGAAGCTTTAATTTAACTCTAAAAACATGTGTCCAACTCCACATTGCTCACCAACAGGAAAAAATAACTTCATGATATAAACCCCAAAAGATATTTTGTACCTAATTAATGCTCAACAAATTGATATTATATTTGTTTCAAAGATTAATACGTTATTAAAATTTTAATTACTGTCTCTTGCAATCTATCATAGGTAAACAGAATTGTTATTCACTCACTATCTTTGTCGGTTTGGGAGACAGTACAGCTTGGCTCAGAATGTAGTGGATTTATGGCAACCACGCAGACGTTGTAGTTGGTATAAGCTTCCAGGTTACTAATGGTGAAGTGTGTATCACTGGTGATCGCCGAATTCACCAGAACCTGCGTGTCTGTATTATCCCAGGTGACACTGTAGTTAGTGACGGGGACACAGAGGTCCTTGGGAACCCAAGGTGTTGATCCAGTCAGTTCACAGTCAACTTGTCGGTATGGTTTCTTCACCTTATCGCTGTCAAACATATGAGGCGTGTTGTCTGAAGCTGCGGAATAAAAATAATATTTGTGTTACTTTATACAAAAGTGTATATTAATTTAAATCTTTACGAAAAATGTACAACTAACCTGACGAGATTGACGTTAATTTTACCTTCATGCGTTTACAACAATGAAGTGTAATCACAACGAGTGTGAGGCTGCACATAGTTGTACACAAGTAAGGGCTGACATGGTCTGTACCAGTGGGCTGCGCATATTTGTACAGGTGAGGAGTGTGGATAATAATTGGTGCAAGTATAGCACTGTACATGGTTATACAGCATCTGTTGGATTTCTGTGATGTTCAGTGTGAAGTGAAACATTGTTGGATAAGTATGGAGTGTCATGATTGTACAAGTTTGGACTGTACCATGATTGTACAAGTGTGGACTGTTACATGATTGTACCAAGTGTGGAGTGTAATGATTGTACAAGTGTGCTGGACTGTACATGATTGTACAAGTGTTGGATGTACATGATTGTACAAGTGTGGACTGTACATGATTGTACAAGTGCTGTGGATGCTAATGATTGCTACAGTTGGACCTGTTCATGATTGGTACATGTGTGGACTGTACATGATTGTACACGTGTGGACCTGTAACATGATTGTACAAAGTGTGGACTGTACATGATTGTACAAGTGTGGTCTTGTACATAATTGTACATGTGTGGACCTGTACAGTTTGTACAAGTGTGGACTGTACATGGCGGGGGGATTGTACAAGTGTGGGACTGTAATGATGTACTAAGTGTGGATGTACAGATTGTACAAGTGGTGGACTGTACATGATTGTACCAAGTGTGGACTGTACATGATTGTACAAGTGGTGGACTGTACATGATTGTACAAACGTGGACTGTACATGATTGTACAGTGTGGGACTGTACATGATTGTACAAGTGTGGATGTACCATGATTGTACAAGTGCTGGTACTGTATATGATTGTTACAAGTGTGTGGACTGTTACATGATTGTTGTAGACAAGTGTGGACCATGTAATGGATTGTACAAGTGTGGACTGTACATGATTGTAAAAAATGTGCGACTGTACATGATTGTACAATGTGGTACTGTACATGATTGTCAAGTGTGGACTGTACATGATTGTAAAGTGTGGTACCTGTACATGATTGTACAGTGTGGACTGTATATGATTTGTACAAGTGTGGACTGTACATGATTGTACAAGTGTGGACTGTATATGAATTGTATAAGTGTGGATGTAATGATTGTACAAGTGTGGATGTACATGTATTGTCAAGTGTGGACTGTACATGATTGTAAAGTGTGTGATGTACATGATTGTACAAGTGTGGACTGTACATGATTGTACAAGTGTGGAGGACGTACATTGGTTGTACAAGTGTGGACTGTACATGGATTGTACAAGTGTGGACTGTTATACATGTTGATTGGTACAAGTGTGGATGTACATGATTGTACAGTGTTACTTTATATGAACGTTGAACAAATACTGGGCTGTTCAAGGTTGTTAACAATTAATTTAAATAATTATCTATCATATAAAATGGCGTTGATTGCTACGAAAACAAAAATAAATGAAAAATAATCATTTTTATCAAACTTAGTCAAGAACATAATTAAACAAAATCATCTCTTTAAATAATACAATGAACGTCGATTTATAATGAACAATGAAAATGAAAAAAAAAATCGTAATAATGTTATTCCAATGTATTGTTTAACTAACTTGAACCTTCATATAAAATCACTTAGCATAAAAATTTAACCAAACTGGATTAGGACTGGGAGGGTCCTGAGGGTTTAGAGCATCGTGGAATTATCGCTCACCATGAGGCAGGCTAAAACAACATGGGGTTCGAATCTCGGCTAGTCGCAGTGTTGTTATTGGTAATTTATATATCTTATATATATATTATATATATATATATATATTTATATATATATATATATATATATATATATATAGATATATTTAGTAGTTGCTAGGGGAGTTACTTGTTTCTTTGGGCCCGAACTACCTAAAACTTTTATCAAAATTTAATTTGGGAGGGATTAATAGATGTAATTTTAAGTGGGAAATAAGCAAACTACCCTTAATTTTGAAGCTTAAACCCAAACTTCAGTAGGGACAATGATGTATATGTTACATGATGAGACAATGATGGAATTCTGATATTATTACTACTGCAATAAGTCTGTTGATAATAGAATAAAATTGTAGATTATAAATGTTACAATAACTGAGCTCGTTCAATAAATCTGTTCTCTCAGCTGATCAATGTTTACGAACGAGAAAGTGAAACAAATAAGAAAAGTCTTGCGCAATTGATTCACATAACCATAGAAATATTTCAGTTCCGCAGTTACTTGTTTAGCATCAATGAACAATGTATTCCAGAATCTGAGAACACTTTATGCGCATGTACTGTGTATAGTCTTTCCCCCGTCCTCCCACAGGGTAAATATGGATTGCCTAATATTTTTTTAAGTAACGAGTATCGATACAAATAATACTCTTACCTGTACTCCTTGTTGCACAGTATTGTAAACTCGGCTGACCGAAACCTACAACCGTGGCGGCTTTGACAGCAACGGTATAGTTAAAACAGGGTGGAGTTCCAGTGATGGTGAGGTCGGGGTGGTGGAGTTTGGTGATGTGATGGTGTAGTGGGTGTTGGTGTACTTGGTGGTGTTTCTGACCATGTCATTCTCAGCGGGGTTGTCAGCAGTCCAGCTGATGTAATACTTAGTGATGACACCGTTGGGTTCATCTGGAGGACTCCACCACACTTCCAGTGATGACTCAGATAAAGTACTCACGAATATATTGGATACCACTCCAGGGGCTGTAACATAATGACAATGTGGATATCACAAGCTGCAGTCATAATAGCAAAGCATCCACCAATTTCAATGACTAACAATACATCGAAATTTATTTCAACGTCAATGCTGAAACTGAAATCATTATCAAAATATGTAACACTATTGTTCTCATATTCAGCATAATTACATTGTGATATAATATGCTATGATTTGCTATCATACTCCGCCACACAGGATCGGCTACATGTATGAGGTAACGAAATTTGTCAGCCAGAGTTGGGAGATTTCGAAAGAGCAATGGCGATACCGTCAAGCGTTCTATTATGGATTCAGATGTGAGGGTTTTCTTTTGATGTTAGTGAATAACTCATTATCAGAATAATAATAATAATGGTAATGTAATAAGAATAATTTACTAATAAGTTAATAATAATAATTAATTATTAATAATAATTTAATAATAATAATCTTCCATGGGGAAGGGGAGAATAATTATTCCTCCGTAAGCCATACGTGTCATAAGAGGCAACTAAGATGCCAGGTGCAAAGGGCTAGTAACCCCTTCTCCTGTATAAATTACTAAATTTAAAAAGAAAAACATTAGCTTTTTTTTCGGGTCACCCTGCCTCGGTGGGAGGCGGCCAGTATGTTAGAAAACATTGTTAATAATATTGTATATGCCTCACGATACGTGTTTCTACTCACTGAGTTACTTAGAACAGTGACAGGTAATGGAAAGTCACAGGTAAAAAAATTCATAGAAAAAATAACAGGAGCTAGTTTGATTTTTTTAAACTAATTTTACAGATAAGTTATGCTAGTTAGGAGGTTAGCTTAAATTAGTTTTAGGTTTAATTTAGCCTTGATTGGATAGGTTAGGTTAGATAAAAAGTACCAGATTTTGAGTGCAATCCCTTCAAGAAGAATTTAATTAGGGAAATTGTACAACAGATGAATGATGTTATATAATGGGAATGTGCGGAAATTGGGTTTAACGGTTATAGTGAAGTTATAGATTGTGTGATAAATACTGACAGTGTCGAAACAGAGAAAGGTTCCTTTACTGACAGTGTCGACACCACAGGATGGCTCCTTACTCCCCGACAGTGTCAGACACAGATGGTTCCTTATTGACAGTATCAGACACAGAGATGGCTCCTTACTGACAGTGTCAGACACAGATGGTTCCTTACTGACAGTATCAGACACAGAGATGGCTCCTTACTGACAGTGTCAGACACAGATGGTTCCTTAAGTTATGATGGAAAAGTTATTGTCCCCAGAAGTTTAGTATGAAATATTATGAGACTTGTGAGGTAGACTGACATAATTCTAAACTGCCCTCAGATATATGAATATAATATAAAATTGATGACGAGTGTCTCTGTTTAATGCACGTGATACACGTCACCAGAATGTCGGCTGTCTCCACGGCTGTGGTGTTTATGTCACCATTAACTAGACTGCCTACAACGTAGTGGCGATAATGTCACTAGTACCTCACCTGTCTGGTAAACAGCGGTGATAACGTCACCATTAACTAGACTGCTTACAACGTAGCAGTGATGTCACCAGTACCTCACCTGTCTTGCAAGCAGTGGTGATAATGTCACCATTAACTCACCTGCTTGCATGGTGGTAGAGCAGCAACAGTCCCATTCTCCAATAAAGTTATTAACCACTCCAGCAACACACACGGTGTAATTTGTCCAAGGTGTTAAGTCAGTCAGGTCAACATGTGTAGAGTAAAAACTTTTATGGTGATTTTCTGATGTTGTTGTCGAACCACAGGACAACTCCTGTGTAGTTTACCTTGTAGTCACTAACTACACAGCGTGTGTCAGGTTTACTCCAGGTGACAGTCAGACTGTAAACGGAGGTTGCTTCATGACAGGTGACTGGTGATGCTGGAGGAGCTGTGGAACAATGCTAAAGTTACTTTGCTAGATGAGGTATATATGAAAGTTAACTTTTGAATTACAGAAGATAAATTATTCACCTAGGTCCATGCATCATTGTTTTACTTAAGAGGGCATTACGACGGTCAGGCAAGAAGCAATGACCTTATAGCTCAAAGTTATATAGCTTGCTAGAGTTATGTTTATAACAGATTACTATCGAATGCATTACAAGCGATATATTACATACATTACAATATATATATATATATATATATTTATATATATATATATATATATATATATATATATATATATATATATATATATATTTATTTATTTATACATACATATATATATATTATATTAGTATATATTATATATATATATATATATATATAATATATATATAATAAATATATATATATTATACATTATATATACATTATATATATACATATATATACATATTATACGAATATATATACAAGCATCATATATTTAGTGATTACTTCACAGAAGTGTAGATTGGAATTGGAAATTTCTTTTTAAGTTCAAACTGCATTACAAACACATATAATACTTACACCTTAAACAATTGATTTTAAGAGACTGGGAAAAACAAAAATAATAACTAAAAAACCTTTTTGATGCGCAATTATCAGTATCTGTTGTTCCCAAATGACGATCGTGGTGCAAAGTAAAGTTAGTAACTGTGGGTAAACTTAATTAAACTTAAAAAATTTAATGTAGGTAAACTTAAAAATTTTATTAAATTAAAAATATAGGAAATTACCTCCCCGGGTGGGGTTAAACTCGGGGTAGAGAGTCTAAAATCCAGCCCCGTCACGTTAGCCACTGGGCCAGCTACCCCAAAATAAGATTCACCCGTTTTTGGGGGACTTGAGTAGGTTCGACGGCCCGCTAGCTGGAGATTGTCTTTTAAAAAACTTGCTTTGTGGTCACAGTGGTGGCCCTATGCAACCCTTCCCTTTGGTTAGAAATATCCTGTTTGGGGAATCTTATTGTGGCTGCTTGCAGTGGCTAGCGCGTTTTGGAGTTTTGGCTCTCTGACCCCGGGTTCAATCCCCCTCCCTTGTATGGTTTTTTTGAAAACGTGTCATTACGATTCTGGTCTATAGGTAAATTAATAAAATATAGTAAATTTAATAATATAGGTAAATTAATAATTATAGGTAAAACTTAAAAAACTATAGGTAAGACTGATAAGTTGTTTTTCTTGTAAATTTACAAGCTTGGGGAAAAGTTAGCAGGAATTAACATGATCCTTTGGGGAATATAGCCAGGGAAATTAACAGATCCTTGGGAAGTTAGAGGGTTAAAACTGATCTTTGGGAAGTTAGCGGAAGTTAAAATGATTTGGGAAGATACCAGGAAGTTAAAACGATCTTGGGAAGTTAGCCGGAAGTTAAACTGATCTTGGGAATTAAAGGGAAGTTAAAGAGGGAAGATAGGGGTTCTTTTGGGGGGAAAAGTCATATCCTGGGGGGCGGAATTAAATTTTTTCGGAAATTAAAATGATCCTTAATTAAGGAAAATACTACTTTGGGGAATTGGGGAATTTTAAAAATTTGGGGTTTTTCCTTGTGGGGGGCCAAATGTTGGGGGCTTTTTAAATATTTCCCGGGGGATTCAAATTTTTTTTTAATTTTAAAACCTTTGGGGGGAAAACGTGAAAAGGAAAAATAAAGTTTATTTTGGGAAAAGGTCTTTTTTACACAATTTTAACAATTTTTATAATTTTTAATACTTTGTGAGGACAACTAATTTTGTGAAAGAGGTCCCCTTGTTAAAAAAATTTTGAGAATGACGGAAAAAATTTGAGATGATCTTGTTCTGCTGAGATGATTTGTTTCTTCTGAGATGTCTTGTTACTCTGGGATTTGTTACTTTGGGGGATGTTTGTTATTCTGAGAGGATCTTGTTACTGCTGAGATGATCTTTTACTCTGAGATGATCTTTTTTCTCTGAGAGATCTTGTTACTTCTGAAATGACTTGTTACTGCTGAGGGGGTCTTGTTACTCTGAGAGGATCTTGTTACTTGAATGATACTTGTTACGTGACGAGATGATTATTGTTACTCTGAGAGGTCTTTTTTCTTATTGCTAAAGGGGGAAACAACTATTGCTGAGATGATCTTGTTACTGCTGAGATGATCTTGTTACTGCTGAGATGATCTTGTTACTGCTGAGATGATCTTGTTACTGCTGAGATGATCTTGTTACTGCTGAGAGGATCTTGTTACTTCTGAGATGATCTTGTTACTTCTGAGAGGATCTTGTTACTTCTGAGAGGATCTTGTTACTTCTGAGATGATCTTGTTACTGCTGAGATGATCTTGTTACTGCTGAGAGGATCTTGTTACTTCTGAGAGGATCTTGTTACTGCTGAGATGATCTTGTTACTTCTGAGAGGATCTTGTTACTTCTGAGATGATCTTGTTACTTCTGAGATGATCTTGTTACTTCTGAGAGGATCTTGTTACTTCTGAGATGATCTTGTTACTGCTGAGAGATTCTGTTAGAGTCTTGTATGAGATGATCTTGTTACTTCTGAGAGGATCTTGTTACTTCTGAGAGATCTGTTACTCTGAGAGATTCTTGTTACTTCTGAGAGGATCTTGTTACTTCTGAGAGGATCTTGTTACTTCTGAGATGATCTTGTTACTGCTGAGAGGATCTTGTTACTTCTGAGAGGATCTTGTTACTGCTGAGAGAATCTTGTTACTGCTGAGATGATCTTGTTACTGCTGAGATGATCTTGTTACTGGTGAGATGATCTTGTTACTGCTGAGAGGATCTTGTTACTGCTGAGAGGATCTTGTTACTGCTGAGATGATCTTGTTACTTGCTGAGAGGATCTTGTTACTGCTGAGAGTATTTGTTACTGCTGAGAGGATCTTGTTACTGCTGAGAGGATCTTGTTACTGCTGAGAGGATCTTGTTACTGCTGAGAGGATCTTGTTACTGCTGAGAGGATCTTGTTACTGCTGAGAGATTTGTTACTACTGAGAGGATCTTGTTACTCTGAAGAGATCTTGTTACTCTGAGAGATCTTGTTACTACTGAGAGGATCTTGTTACTACTGAGAGGATCATGTTACTACTGAGAGGATCATGTTACTACTGAGAGGATCTTGTTACTGCTGAGAGGATCTTGTTACTGCTGAGAGGATCATGTTACTGCTGAGAGGATCTTGTTACTGCTGAGAGGATCTTGTTACTACTGAGAGGATCATGTTACTACTGAGAGGATCATGTTACTGCTGAGAGATCTTGTTACTGCTGAGAGAGTCTTGTTACTGATACTGAGAGAGATCATGTTACTGCTGAGAGGATTTCTCTGAATTTTACTGCTGAGAGGAATCTTGTTACTGCTGAGAGGATCTTGTACTGCTGAGAGGATCTTGTTACTGCTGAGAGGATCATTGTTACTGCTGAGAGGATCTTGTTACTGCTGAGAGGATCTTGTTACTGCTGAGAGGATCTTGTTACTGCTGAGAGGATCATGTTACTGCTGAGAGGATCTTGTTACTGCTGAGAGGATCTTGTTACTGCTGAGAGGATCTTGTTACTACTGAGAGGATCTTGTTACTGCTGAGAGGATCTTGTTACTGCTGAGAGGATCATGTTACTGCTGAGAGGATATTGTTACTGCTGAGAGGATCTTGTTACTGCTGAGAGGATCTTGTTACTGCTGAGAGGATCTTGTTACTGCTGAGAGGATCTTGTTACTGCTGAGAGGATATTGTTACTGCTGAGAGGATCTTGTTACTGCTGAGAGGATCATGTTACTCTGAGAGGATCTTGTTACTGCTGAGAGGATCTGTTACTGCTGAGAGGATCATGTTACTGCTGAGAGGATATTGTTACTGCTGAGAGGATCTTGTTACTCCTGAGAGGATCTTGTTACTCCTGAGAGGATCTTGTTACTGCTGAGAGGATCTTGTTACTGCTGAGAGGATCTTGTTACTGCTGAGAGGATCTTGTTACTACTGAGAGGATCTTGTTACTGCTGAGAGGATCATGTTACTGCTGAGAGGATATTGTTACTGCTGAGAGGATCTTGTTACTGTTGAGAGGATCATGTTACTACTGAGAGGTCATGTTACTGCTGAGAGGATCTTGTTACTGCTGAGAGGATCATGTTACTGTTGAGAGGATCATGTTACTACTGAGAGGATCATGTTACTGCTGAGAGGATATTGTTACTGCTGAGAGGATCATGTTACTACTGAGAGGATCATGTTACTGCTGAGAGGATCTTGTTACTACTGAGAGGATCTTGTTACTGCTGAGAGGGTCATGTTACTGCTGAGAGGATCATGTTACTGCTGAGAGGATCATGTTACTACTGAGAGGATCTTGTTACTGCTGAGAGGATCATGTTACTGCTGAGAGGATCATGTTACTGCTGAGAGGATCATGTTACTGCTGAGAGGATCATGTTACTGCTGAGAGGATCATGTTACTGCTGAGAGGATCATGTTACTGCTGAGAGGATCATGTTACTGCTGAGAGGATCATGTTACTGCTGAGAGGATCATGTTACTGCTGAGAGGATCATGTTACTGCTGAGAGGATCATGTTACTGCTGAGATTATCTTGTTACTGCTGAGAAGATCTTGATCTAAGGAGCGGAATTTATCCTGCCCTTCCTACATTGAGGTTGAATGTATCCTATTTATATATAAGTCGTGCCAAATAGATAAAACTGGTCAATTAGCAAGAACTCATTTAAAATTAAGTCCTTTCTAAAATTTTATCTTATACGTTTAAAGATATATATTTGTTCATTTATGGTAATGTAAAAATTAATAATTTTGTGCCAAAATAATCTTAGAAAACTTACTTAACCTTCTTATAATATGCACAGTTTAATTTTGCCTCATTGAACTAAATATATTTTAGATAAGTTTACAATGATTTAATAATAAACAAACACAATGAAATAGATTTTTTTCGTCAGGTTCAGAACTATTTTTGCGAAATAATTGCATGCAAAAATTTTCAGTTGCCTTATTCGGCAAGAATAGCGTTGCTACTTAAGCCAAAATCACAAGTTTTACATATTCGGCACGACACACACACACACACACACACACACACACACACACACACACACACACACACACACACACACACACACACATATATATATATATATATATATACTTATATATATAGCAGAATAGGAATTTTCCATCTCAAAAAATGGGTGAGGAGCAAAAAGGGTAAACTCTCCTATTTCCAGAGGCTGGCACAACACCCGTCAGGTAAATGCTGGTTTATCCACGAGGTTGACTGGGAACAGCACAGATGTATTTACCACAATCCACCGAGTACAAGAAGGAATCAAGCTTCAGACTGTACAATGCCTATAATTATAAAGTTACCTGTTCTATATAAGCCGCCACTGTTATCATACAATATTTTATAACTGGAAATTCGCACCACCAGCTGATATAAATGTAAATAAATGAAAATCAGAATCAGAATTATTTTCATAACTTGAGAAATTTTGCCCGTGAATGGAAATAACTTTTTTTTTTTACATGAGAATATGAATATTTAAATAATTAATTCGTAAGTGACTAGAGCACCAAAAGTCCTTTATTCGTAATTCATGTTAGCCTAGTATAAATAGATCATTTGATGCGTAATTTATTTAGCCATAAATAACAATAGATGCCAGTCCCTGTCTAATATATCTGCTGCTACCCTCAGGATGGTGATGTACCTTATAATTATGTAAATTTGTAAAGTATATCTGTTTAGTTTTTACACTTACCTTCACTCTCTGTTGTACAACTTCCTGAACTCGGGTCACCAAAGCCTTTACTTGTGGCAGCCGTGACAGTGACGGTATAGTTGGTACAAGGTGTGACGTTGTTGATGTTGTAGCTGGTGATGGTGACGATGACACTCCCACCGGGGCTGTCAGTGGCGACCCAGCTTACTTTATATTGGGTGATGACTCCCTGTGGCTTAACTGGAGGACTCCACCACACACTCAGTGATGACTCAGGTAACGAATTCACCATCATGTTTGATACCTCTCCAGGGACTGAAACGCATTAACAAGTCTGTCATAACCTATATTAGCAAATAACTATTGCAATAATAAGCTTCTAATTTTTTTTTAAATTCATATTGGCATTAGTTCACATGTGTTCGCAATAAAACTAATATGAAGAAGTATATTTAATATATCAAGAAGTATAATATATCTCTAAGTATATAAAATAAAAGACCAAGTTATACTTCCAGTTTATATATTATTAAGGCCTAAATTAGATATTGTGAGGTTCTGGCGACCATATTACAGAATGGATAACATACAGAGGAACATGACAAAGTTGGTCCCATGTATCAGAAATCTTCCGAAAAAGTAATATTAAGATTTAAAAAAAGATGTAGGAAAACGGGATAAAGGAATAAGAGGAAAAGTGGGCGGATGGATCTATAACTTCTTAACAAATATAACAAAAAAGTAACAATAAACAGAGTAAAGACAGGGGCGGCTACAGTGAACAGTTGTGTTCCACAACTAAAAGTACTCTCACCCATCCTTTTCCTCATCCTCATATCTAACAGACATGCAAGTCGCTACACCATGTCCTTCTTGCCTGACAATACCAGAATTTCCATGATAGTGTCATCCACTGAGGAATCTTCAAAGCTACAACCGGACATTTGCAAGTTTTTCACTGAGCCTCAGAAAACAATATGAAGTTGTTACGCCCTTTGTTCACCTTCTGTAAACAGTCTGTTGTTTAATGTACAATTTCTTTTTTTTTCACTTATATTATTGGTATCCTTATTAGTAGCTAAAATAAGGATGCTTTACTTTATATTATCTGGCCATAAATTGTTTAGTTTTGTACATAGGTAGGATGTTTAAATAGTTTAAACTGCTGGTGCGGTGTTAAGCATCACACTATCATTAATAAAAAACCCATTACAAGCCTCATTAAAAACAGTCACAAGCACCTGCAGAATAGCATCAGAAACAGCAACAGTCAGCACTACTTACTGCTCTCGTCTGTGGTCCCGTTGTTGCAGTTATCATTAGTGTAAGCTTCTTCTGTAGTGTTGGCTGCTACACAGACAGTGTAGCTGGTCCAGGCGTCGAGGTTGGTGATGGTGTAACTTAACAAGCTGGTGAGATGTTCTCCAATAACTACATCTTCACCAGCTTGTCTCCAGGTAATCTTATAGGTAATGATGCAGTTCCCGGCACCTTGTGCCTTGGGCCAGCTGACTGCCAGCTGAGAAGATTGATCTATCACTGTGGTCACCTTGATGTAGGAGACTGGTTGAGGGTCTGGGGGGGAGGGTAGCAAGATTCAGTGTGAGAGAATAATATTCCAGCAACAATATATAACATAATGATGGTTTAGAAAGACACGTAAGCAAACACTATAACATATTTATTAGAAAACGTTTCGGTTCTGGGACCTTGATCACTTCTAGAAGTGATCAAGGTCCCAGAACCGAAACGTTTTCTAATAAATATGTTATAGTGTTTGCTTACGTGTCTTTCTAAACCAACTTGTCGGTATTTATTACCAAGGTTTATACCATAACATAATGATAAATCTGGTTGTTTCTGTCATGGAACAAAGATGCAATTTGAACTGAATATTAAGTTCGTGTAAATTTTGAAACCTTTAGATTACTTTAACCCCTAAAAATGAGGTTAATGAAAACTCTCAACTTATGTACTCACACGCTGACAGATGCACAACTCTCAGTGCACAAGCAATTGTGCAGCATCTCCTTTATGAGGAGGTCGCTGTCTGACTCATTACAAGCTAAAACTTTTTTTTTTACACAGGGTTTGACAAGGTTAGGTTACGGATCCTTAGCTTTATTGACAAGCTATTTACAGGTTAAGGATTCCTAGCTTTATTGACAAGCTAAGAGCTCTCTCTCTCTCTCTCCCCTCTCTCCTCTCTCTCTCTCTCCTCTCTCTCTCTCTCTCTCTCTCTCTCTCTCTCTCAACCTCTCAATATCTCTCTCCTCCCTCTTGCTCGCCAAGTTTATGGAATATGAGGGATAACTTTCTTGGACAAGTCACCGACCAAACCGAATCAAACATTTTAATAGTATTTGACTGGGTTCGTTTCTCCTGAAAAATTCAGAAATGCTCCTGTGCATTTTTTAATGTACAATTACAGTTCCTGGACCTTTAGAAGATCTTTAATTACAAAGACGCTTATTCAGATCAACTAACAGAGTGAGAAATAATCTTGGAGGAAAATTGTTTGCTTCTGAAAAATTTAATGTTAAATTAGTTTAAATTATATTTTATACTGTAATATTTTATCATTCATTTGGTTATGAGTAATTTTAAAAATTGTTTAGTTCTCTTATAAATATATTTTATAATATAATTGAAACCAACAACATTAAACAATGATTTTTTTTGTTTTTATAAAATGAGTAATAATTTATTTTTTTACCGTGAGTCAGTGTTGATATAGATTGGTGAACTTCATGGCCGCCTTCATCTGCTTCATTCCAGGGCTGGAGAGTGACAGTGTAGTTAGTACACGACACAAGACCTATGATAGTATACGTGTTGTTACCATCAGTGACATTGTGAGTCCCACCGTTGTCCTCGGGACTCCAGCTGATGGTGTAATAGGTCGCTCCTGACACTTCATCCCACACAGCCTCTATACTGTTTGTTGACGATGTCAGCTCAAGTGTTGGATCATCATCTGGTGAGAAAAATTACAGATAAACATATTTTTAATTAATGATGCACCCCGAGAACAAGGAGATACATTTAGTGTTTGTCGGAACAATATTTTCTTCCTCTAAGGTTACCATGTGATGACTAGAGAACGCCTCTTCTGATAGGCTTCAAACTTCCAAAACTGAGGTATCTTACAAATAGGATAGTGTAAATACCACTTTGCCAAATGGGAGAACTAGTTAAACCATACTTTATAAGAACATAAGAACATAAGAAAGGAGGAACACTGCAGGAGGCCTGTTGGCCCATACTAGGCAGGTCCTTTACAATTCATCCCACTAACAAAACATTTGCCCAACCCAATTTTCAATGCCACCCAAGAAATAAGCTCTGATGTGAAAGTCCCACTCAAATCCAACCCCTCCCACTCATGTACTTATCCAACCTAAATTTGAAACTACCCAAAGTCCCAGCCTCAATAACCCAACTAGGTAGACTGTTCCACTCATCAACTACCCTATTTCCAAACCAATACTTTCCTATGTCCTTTCTAAATCTAAACTTATCTAATTTAAATCCATTACTGCGGGTTCTCTCTTGGAGAGACATCCTCAAGACCTTATTAATATCCCCTTTATTAATACCTATCGTCCACTTATACACTTCGATCAGGTCTCCCCTCATTCTTCGTCTAACAAGTGAATGTAACTTAAGAGTCTTCAATCTTTCTTCATAAGGAAGATTTCTAATGCTATGTATTAATTTAGTCATCCTACGCTGAATGTTTTCTAACGGATTTATGTCCATTCTGTAATATGGAGACCAGAATTGAGCTGCATAATCTAGGTGAGGCCTTACTAATGATGTATAAAGCTGCAGTATGACCTCTGGACTTCTGTTGCTTACACTTCTTGATATAAATCCCAGTAATCTATTTGCCTTATTACGTACGCTTAGGCATTGCTGTCTTGGTTTAAGGTTGCTGCTCACCATAACCCCCAAGTCCTTTTCGCAATCTGTATGGCTAAGTTCTACGTCATTTAACTTATAAGTACTAGGGTTATGGACACTCCCGAGCTTCAGAACCTTGCATTTATCTACATTGAACTGCATCTGCCACTTTTCTGACCAAGAATAGAGTTTGTTTAAATCCTCCTGAAGTTCCATAACATCTACGTTTGAGTCAATTATCTTACCTATCTTTGTGTCATCGGCGAATTTGCTCATATCACTAGTAATTCCCTCATCAAGATCATTGATATATATTATAAACAACAACGGGCCCAAGACTGATCCCTGTGGAACGCCACTTGTTACATATCCCCACTCGGATTTAACCCCATTTATAGACACTCTCTGCTTCCTGTCAGTGAGCCATGACTCGATCCACGAGAGCACTTTTCCCCCAATGCCATGAGCTGCCACTTTCTTTAACAGTCTATGGTGCGGAACTCTATCAAAAGCCTTACTAAAATCTAAGTAAATAATATCAAATTCTTTATTGTGGTCAACAGCCTCAAAAGCTTTACTGAAGAAAGTTAATAAATTAGTTAGACAAGACCGGCCTCTTGTGAATCCATGCTGAGTATCATTAATCAAGCTATGCTTATCGAGATAGCTTCTTATAATCTCAGCTATAATTGACTAGTAATTTGCCTACAATTGAGGTCATGCTTATTGGGCGGTAATTTGACGGTAACGACTTGTCCCCTGTTTTAAAAATAGGAATTACATTAGCCATCTTCCACATATCAGACACTACACCTGTTTGAAGAGATAAATTAAAAATATTAGTTAATGGTTCACAGAGTTCCATTTTGCATTCCTTAAGAACCCTTGAAAAAACCTCCTCAGGACCCGGCGACTTATTTTGCTTCAGTCTGTCTATCTGCTTCACAACCATTTCACTAGTGACTGTGATGTTACATAATTTATCCTCTTCTAGCCCACTATGAAAATTAATTACTGTAATATTGTTAGTGTCTTCCTGTGTAAAAACTGAGAGAAAATAATTATTAAAAATCGAGCACATTTCATTCTCTTTGTCAGTAAGGTGCCCATAGTTATTTTAAGGGGACCTATCTTATCTCTAACTTTTGTTCTATAGACCTGGAAAAAACTTTTTGGGTTAGTTTTAGAATCCCTAGCAACTTTAATTTCATAGTCCCTTTTAGCTTTTCTTATCCCCTTTTTAATGTCCCTCTTAATGTCAATATACTGATTCATAAGATGACCCTCACCTCTTTTGATACGCCTATAAATTCCTTTCTTATGCCCTAGTAGATATTTGAGCCTATTATTCATCCATTTTGGGTCATTTCTATTTGATCTAATTTCTTTATATGGGATAAACGTTCTTTGAGCAGCATGTATAGTGTTCAGAAAACTGTCATATTGATAGCTCTCTTCGTTACCCCAGTCAACAGATGATAAGTGTTCTCTAAGCCCATCGTAATATGCTAAGCGAAAATCTGGGACTGTTACTGAGTTATCCCTACTATCGTACTTCCATTCAATGCTAAATGTAATTGATTTGTGGTCGCTAGCACCCAGTTCCTCTGAAATTACTAAATTATTAACAAGGGATTCATTGTTTGCCATAACTAAGTCAAGCAGGTTATTTCCCCTTGTAGGTTCTGTCACAAACTGCTTCAAAAAACAATCCTGAACTATTCAGGAAACGTTTCGCCACACAGTGGCTTCATCAGTCCAATACAAAGAGGAAGGCGTAAGGAGAGGAGGAGTATAAGGTAATCAGTCCCTCAGCCTGGAGTCGATGTGTTCAGTCCATCAATCTTGTAGAATGTACAGCATAGGGCCGTAGACGTGGCTAATATACTGTAGTGAGGTGAGGTGAAGCAGGCGGAGGCGGGGTTATAGTGGTACCATCCACTAGTCGAAGTAGGTCTTCGTCCAAAGGTTGAACAAGAGTTGAAGAATTCTTTGTAACAAGATCCCATGATGCTGCAGTGTCTGACAGTTGTGATGAATGGTTTGAAAAACCGACAAGTTGAAGATTGAGACACTTATGCAGCATACTCCTCCTCTCCTTACGCCTTCCTCTTTGTATTGGACTGATAATAAAACAAACTTTAAATTTGAAATAAACCTGATTTCTTCCAGAATATGTAAAAAAAAATTGGTAAGAAATTATGTGGATGAATTTTTACAATTACAATCTTGAATTATCCTTTCATCCACATAACTGTGGAGAACTAACATATCTAAAATGATTATTCATTTCCTTATATCTGGAGTTTATCTGGAGAGAGTTCCGGGGGTCAACGCCCCCGTCTGTGACCAGGCCTCCTTAGGTCAGTGTCCCAGGATGCGACCCACACCAGTCGACTAACACCCAGGTACCCATTTTACTGATGGGGAACATAGACAACAGGTGGAAAGAAACACGTCCAATGTTTCTACTCTGGCTGGGAATCGAACCCAGACCCTCACCGTGTGAAGCGAGAGCGTTAACCACCAGGCCACCAGAAACATGTGAGGGTTTAGAAACAACATGTCACTGATATTATCCTTCCTTCAACGCCCACTGTCTCAGCTCCCCAACTCTCACTTCACGACCTTAAATTATTAACAGAATTTAGGGTCCCCGAAGAATAATTACTAGAAAAATAATTTAAGCCAGAAAACCTAGCATATTTATAACACCTCCCTATCAACAAGCAACCAATATTGACTAATATCCAGCTACCTTACCTGTTGTGTGAGACTTAAATTCACACCTGGAGGGGAACATAAATTGCTGTAGTACACGCTGTGATCAACATCTCCATGTTCAGTATTATCCTCTATATCAGCCTTATTATGACCAGTTTGCAATGTATCTGAACCCTTCCAGATATATGTTATATTCATCCTTTTCATGATCCCTAATTTTTGCTAATACAATCTCCAGCGACCTCGATGACCCAAGATCAAATTCTGCCACAATCGACAATTAATGTTGACGTTCCGTCGTTTTTCCATTCCTACTTAAGTTATGGAATAAAAACATCTATTTATAGTTGGGGATATTTCCAGGTATGCAACAAATTTTCCTTTTTATAATATTAATTTTCTCTAAATTGCAACAGTTTTTGTTCATTTAATCAACTTCTTACAGTATATAAGGAAATTATACCAAAACATCACCATAAAAACATCCACATCTCCCATTACAAACACCACTTCAAACATTAACACCATAACAGACCCCTCTTATCACCCCTGTCACGATAAGCACCACCATCTTGACATGCACTACCACCATAACCATACCAAACACTGCCACATCTACCTCACTCACCACACCCTCACCACTATTAGTACCACAACGACTATCACCACCACTACCACAAACACAATCACCACCACCATCAAATATCAAGTAACACCACCAGAAGTTACACCACCACTTCAGCCCAACCACCGTAAGCACCACCACCACACCTCGAGAACCAGCACGTATAAGCATCACCGCCACAAACGACTACCTTGACAAGCACCACCAAAAGCAACAAACACCATTACTACCACAACTAACAGTACTAGCCTCCCTAAAAGGGCAATTTAGTCACCACTATAAACACAGCAAGCACAATAAAAGTAACATCGTATAATCAGTTACAAGCACTACCACAATAAAAAAAAAAAACATAAGCATTATTGAAACCTCATTACAAGCTCCATTAAAAATATTATGATAAACACAATAAAGACACCATTAGAGCAGCATCAAAAACAGCAGCACTACTTACTGCTCTCGTCTGTGGTCCCGTTGTTGCAGCTATCATTAGTGTAAGCTCCTTCAGTAGTGTTGGCTGCTACACAGACAGTGTAGCTGGTCCAGGCGTCGAGGTCGGTGATGGTGTAACTTAACAAGCTGGTGAGATGTTCTCCAATAACTACATCTTCACCAGCTTGTCTCCAGGTAATCTTATAGGTAATGATGCAGTTCCCGGCACCTTGTGCCTTGGGCCAGCTGACTGCCAGCTGAGAAGATTGATCTATCACTGTGGTCACCTTGATGTAGGAGACTGGTTGAGGGTCTGGGGGGGAGGGTAGCAAGATTCAGTGTGTGAGAGAATAATATTCCAGCAACAATATATAACATAATGATAAATCTGGTTGTTTCTGTCATGGAATAAAGATGCAATTTGAACTGAATATTAAGTTCATGTAAATTTTGAAACCTTTAGATTATTTTAACCCCTAAAAATGAGGTTAATGAAAACTCTCAACTTATGTACTCACACGCTGACAGATGCACAACTCTCAGTGCACAAGCAATTGTGCAGCATCTCCTTTATGAGGAGGTCGCTGTCTGACTCACTACAAGCTAAGACTTTTTTTTTACACAGGGTTTGACAAGGTTAGGTTACGGATCCTTAGCTTTATTGACAAGCTATTTACAGGTTAAGGATTCCTAGCTTTATTGACAAGCTAAGAGCTCTCTCTCTCTCTCTCTCTCTCTCTCTCTCTCTCTCTCTCTCTCTCTCTCTCTCTCTCTCTCTCTCAATATCTCTCTCCCTCCCTCTTGCTCGCCAAGTTTATGGAATATGAGGGATAACTTTCTTGGACAAGTCACCGACCAAACCGAATCAAACATTTTAATAGTATTTGACTGGGTTCGTTTCTCCTGAAAAATTCAGAAATGCTCCTGTGCATTTTTTAATGTTCAATTACAGTTCCTGGACCTTTAGAAGATCTTAAATTACAAAGACGCTTATTCAGATCAACTAACAGAGTGAGAAATAATCTTGGAGGAAAATTGTTTGCTTCTGAAAAATTTAATGTTAAATTAGTTTAAATTATATTTTATACTGTAATATTTTATCATTCATTTATTTATGAGTAATTTTAAAAATTGTTTAGTTCTCTTATAAATATATTTTATAATATAATTGAAACCAACAACATTAAACAATTATTTTTTTTGTTTTTATAAAATGAGTAATAATTTATTTTTTTTACCGTGAGTCAGTGTTGATATAGATTGGTGAACTTCATGGCCGCCTTCATCTGCTTCATACCAGGGCTGGAGAGTGACAGTGTAGTTAGTACACGACACAAGACCTGTGATAGTATACGTGTTGTTACCATCAGTGACATTGTCAGTCCCACCGTTGTCCTCGGGACTCCAGCTGATGGTGTAATAGGTCGCTCCTGACACTTCATCCCACACAGCCTCTATACTGTTTGTTGACGATGTCAGCTCAAGTGTTGGATCATCATCTGGTGAGAAAAATTACAGATAAACATATTTTTAATTAATGATGCACCCCGAGAACAAGGAGATACATTTAGTGTTTGTCGGAACAATATTCTCTTCCTCTAAGTCTAAGGTTACCATGTGATGACTAGAGAATGCCTCTTCTGATAGGCTTCAAACTTCCAAAACTGAGGTATCTTACAAATAGGATAGTGTAAATACCACTTTGCCAAATGGGAGAACTAGTTAAACCATACTTTATATTGGCGTCTGTAACCAATAAAATGTAAATATGAAAATCATTGTTGCTTTCATTATATTATGCATTTATATATATATATATATATATTATATATATATATATATATATATATATATATATAAATTTATATATATATATATATATATGCAAGATTACAGTACGTCTTGCTACTTCTACTTACACTTAGGTCACACTACACATACATGTACACGTTTATTTATACACACTCATCTGAGTTTTCTTTGATTTTATCTTAATAGTTCTTGGTCTTATTACTTTTCCTTTTATATCCATGGGGAAGTGGAATAAGAATCTTTCCTCCGTAAGCCATGCGTGTTGTAAAAGTCAACTAAAATGCCGGGAAAACAATGGGCTAGTAACCCCTTTTCCTGTAAAGATTACTAAAAAGAATAAGAAAAAAGAAAATTGTCAAAGTGGGAAGTCTGAATGTGCGTGGATGTTGTGCAAAATGATAAGAAAGAGATGATTGTGGATGTTATGAATGAGAAGAAACTGGATGTCCTGGCTTTAAGTGAAACAAAGCTGAAGGGGTGGGAGAGTTTCAATGGAGAGGAATAAATGGGATTAGGTCAGGGGTTTAAAATAGAGTTAGAGCTAAAGAAGGAGTAGCAATAATGTTGAAGGATAAGCTATGGCAGGAAAAGAGGGACTACAAATGCATAAATTAAAGGGATTATGTGGAGTAAAATAAAGATTGGATGTGAAAAGTGGGTTATAGTAAGCGTGTATGCACCTGGAGAAGAAAGAAGTGTAGAGGAGAGAGAGAGATTCTGGGAAATGTTGAGTGAATGCGTGGGGAGTTTTGAATCAAGTGTGAGAGTAATGGTGGTTGGGGATTTCAATGCAAAAGTGGGTAAAAATGTTATGGAGGAGTAGTAGGTAAATTTGGGGTGCCAGGGGTAAATGTAAATGGGGAGCCTTTAATTGAGCTATGTGTAGAAAGAAATTTGGTTATAAGTAAAACATATTTTATGAAAAAAAGGATAAATAAATATACAAGGTATGATGTAGCACGTAATGAAAGTAGTTTGTTAGATTATGTATTGGTGGATAAAAGGTTGATGAGTAGGCTCCAAGATGTACATGTTTATAGAGGGGCAACTGATATGTCAGATCATTATTTAGTTGTAGCTACAGTTAGAGTAAGAGGTAGATGGGAAAAGAGGAAGGTGGCAACAACAAGTAAGAGGGTGGTGAAAGTGTAAAAAACTAAGGGAGGAGGAAGTTCAGGCGAGATATTAACGACTATTGGCAGAAAGGTGGGCTAGTGCAAAGATGAGTAGTGGGGGGGGGGGTGAAGAGGGTTGGAATTAGTTTTTTAAAAATGCAGTTTTAGAATGTGGGGCAGACGTTTGTGGTTATAGGAGGGTTGGGGGCAGGAGGGGAAAGAGGAGTGTTGGTGGAATGATGAAGTAAAGGTGTGATAAAAGAGAAAAAGGTAGATTACGAGAGGTTTTTACTAAGCAGGAAGTGTTATAAGAAGAGCAGATTATATGGAGAGTAAAGAAAGGTGAGAGAGAGAGTGGTGAGAGAGTGCAAAAGGAGAGCAGGATGAAAGTGTGGGAGAGGCACTGTCAAGAAATTTTATGAAATTAGAAAAAATTTTGGAGTTTGAGTTAAACAAGTTAAGAAAGCCTAGGGAAAGTATGGATTTTGTCCATTTAAAAACAGAAGTAGGGAGTTAGTAGATGGAGGAGAGGGAGGTATTAGGTAGATGGCGAAGAATATTTTGAGGAACTTTTAAATGTTGAGGAAGAAAGGGAGGCGGTTAATTTCATGCACTGGCCAGGGAGGTATACATCTTTTAGGAGTGAAGAAGAGCGTAATGTAAGTGTTGGAGGTAGCTGAAGGCATATTACGTAGAATGAAAGGGGGGTTAAAGCAGCTGAACTGATGGGATCTGACAGAAATGTTTAAGCAGGGGGGGGGGTAATAGTGTTGGAGTGGTAGGTATTTTGTTTAAAAATGTTATGAAAGAGGGGAAAAGATACTAGGATTGGCAGAGAGAGCATGTATAGTCCTTTATATAAGGGAAAGGGGAACAAAAGAGACTGTAAAAATTATAGAGGGAATAAGTTTACTGAGTATACAGGAAAAAGTATACGGTAGGTTATAATTGAAAGAATTAGAGTAAGGACAGAAGTAGAAATTGCGGATGGAGCAAGGAGGCTTCAGAGTGGGTAGGGGATGTGTAGATCAAGTGTTTACATTGAAGCATATAGTGTACAGTATTTAGATAAAGGTAGGGAAGTTTTTATTGCATTTATGGATTTAGAAAAGCATATGATCGAGTGGATAGAGGAGCAATGTGGGCAGATTTTGCAAGTTTATGGAATAGGTGGTAAGTTACTAAATGCTGAGTAAGAGCTTTTATGTGGATAGTGAGCCCAAGTTAGGTTGTGTAGAAGAGAGGGAGGAAAATACTTCCCGTTTAAAAGTAGGTCTTAGACAGGGATGTGTAATGTCACCATGGTTGATTAATATATTTTATAGATGGGGTTGTTAAAGAAGTAAATTGCTGGGTGTTCGGAAAGAGGGGTGGGATTAAATTATGGGGAATCAAATTCAAAATGGGGAATTGACACAGTTACTTTTTGCAGATGATACTGTGTTGTGGAGATAGTCTAAAGAGAAAAATTACAAAAGTTAGCAGGATGAGTTTGAGATTGTGTGTAAAGGGTAAGAAAGTTGAAATTGAACATAGAAAAGAGTAAGGTGAATGAGGGTATCAAAGATTTTAGTAAGAAAAAAGGATATCAAATTGGGGAGGAGGAGTATGGAAGAAGTGAATGTTTTCAGATACTTGGGAGTTGACGTGTCGGCCGGATGGATTTATGAAGGATGAGGTTAAATCAGAGAATTGATGAGGAAAAAAGGTGGAGCGTGGTGCGTTGTGGTATATGTGGAGTGAAAAACGTTATCTTATGGAGGCAAAGAAGGGAATGTATGAAAAGTAATAGTTAGTACCAACATCACTCTTATATAGGATGTGAAGCTTGGGTGGTAAATGCAGCAGTGAGGAGCGGTTGTGGAGCAGTGGAGATGTCCTGTTTAAGGGCAATGTGTGGTGTAATAAAATATTATGCAAGAAAATTCGGAGTGTGGAAATTAGAGGTGTGGAGTAATAAAAGCATTAGTCAGAGGGCCAGAAGAGGGGTTGTTGAGGTGGTTTGTCATTTTAGGAGAATGGATCAAAGTAAAAGAAATTGAAAGCATATAATCTATAGGGGAAGGAAAGAGGGGTTGGGTCGTCCTCGAAAGGGTTGGACGAAAAGAGGGAGGTAAAGGAGGGTTTTGTGGGCGAAGGGGCTTGGACTTCCAGCGGAGCGTTAGCGTAGGGCGTGTGTAGATTGGAGTGAATGGAGACGAATATACTTGGGACCTGACGATCTGTTGGAGTGTGAGCAGGGTAATATTTAGTGAAGGGATTCCAGGGAAACCGAGTTTTTTTCATATAGTCGGACTTCGAGTCCTGGAAATGGGAAGTACAATGCCTGCACTTTAAAGGAGGGGTTTGGGGATATTGGCAGTTTGGGGGATATGTTGTGATCTTTATAAACGTATTGCTTCTAAACTGTTGTCCCCCCCCTGATCTGAAGCACCTCTGCAAAAGCAGTGAAATGTGTGAGAGTGGTGAAAGTGTTGGAATGATGATGATAAGTATTTTCTTTTTGGGGATTTTCTTTCTTTTTTTTTGGGTCACCTGCCTCGGTGGGAGTCGGCCCCGACTTGTTGAATATATACTATATATATAAATATATATATATATATATATATATATATTATATTTAATATTTATATATTTATATATATATATGAGATATAATATTTATACATATATTATAACATATATAATACTTATATATATATATTTATTATATACATATATATATATACATATATACATATATATTACATATATACACTATATATATATACATATATTTATATATATATACATATAATTTATATTTCATTATATAAATATATCTATATATTTAATTTATTATATATACATATTTATATATATATATATATATACATATATATATATATTCTATATATGTATTTATATATTTATATATATATATATATTTATATTATATATACATATATAGAATATACATATATACATATATATTATATATATATATATATACATATATATATTATATACATATATACATATATATTTACTATTATACATAGATACATATAGATATATACATATATAATATATATATATACAGTATACAGTATATATATTTATAAACATATATAATAACATAATACATATATATATATACATATATACATTATACATATATATATATTATAAATAAATACATATATTCATTATATATAGTTATACTATATACATCTATACATATATATATATTGACATATATACATATATATATATATATATATTTATATATATATATATATACCCTATATATATATATCATATATATATATTTATATATATATAATTTATTCCATAATCGCATGTAAGATAAATGAAATGGATAATAAAACAAACTTTTAAATCTGAATAAACCTGATTTCTTTCCAGAAATAGGTAAAAAAAAAATTGGTAAGAAATTAGGTGGATGATTTTTACAATTACAATCTTGAATTACCTTTATCCACTATCTGTGAGAGAACTAACATATCTAGAAATGAATTATTTTCATTTCCTTATATCTGCGAGTTTGATCTGGAGAGAGTTCCGGGGGTCATACGCCCCCCCGCGGGCCCGGTCTGTGAACAGGCATCCTTAGGTCAGTGTCCCAGGTGGCGACCCACACAGTCGAACTAACACCCAGGTACCATTTTACTGATTGGGGAACATAGACAACGTGGAAAGAAACACGTCCAATGTTTTACTCTGGCTGGGATCGAACCAGGCCCTCACCGTTTGAAGCGAGAGCGTTAAACCACCAGGGCCACCAGAAAACATGTGAGGCTTTAGAAACAACATGTCACTGATATTATCCTTCCTTCAACGCCCACTGTCTCAGCTCCCCAACTCTCACTTCACGACCTTAAAATATTAACAGAATTTAGGGTCCCCGAAGAATGATTACTAGAAAAATATTTTAAGCCAGAAAACCTAGCATATTTATAACACCTCCCTATCAACAAGCAACCAATATTGACTAATATTCAGCTACCTTACCTGTTGTGTGAGACTTAAATTCACACGGGAGGGGAACATAAATTGCTGTAGTACACGCTGTGATCAACATCTCCATGTTCAGTATTATCCTCTGTATCAGCCTTATTATGACTCAGTTTGCAATGTATCTGAACCCTTCCAGATATATGTTATATTCATCCATTTCATGATCCCTAATTTTTGCTAATACAATCTCCAGCGACTTCGATGACCCAAAATCAAATTCTGCCACAATCGACAATTAATGTTGACGTTCCGTCATTTTTCCATTCCTACTTATGTTATGGAATAAAAACATCTATTTATAGTTGGGGATATTTCCAGGTATGCAACACATTTTCCTTTTTATAATATTAATTTTCTCTAAATTGCAACAGTTTTTGTCATTTAATCAACTTCTTACAGTATATAAGGGAAAATTTTACCAAAACATCACCATAAACATATCCACATCTCCCATCACAAACACCACTTCAAACATTAACACCATAACAGACCCCTCTTATCACCCCTGTCACGATAAGCACCACCATCTTGACATGCACCCACCACCATAACCATACCAACACTGCCCCATCTACCTCACTCACCACACCCTCACCACTATTAGTACCACAAACGACTATCACCACCACTACCACAAACACAATCACCACCACCATCAAATATCAAGTAACACCACCAGAAGTTACACCACCACTTCAGCCCAACCACCGTAAGCACCACCACCACACCTCGAGAACCAGCACGTTTAAAACATCACCGCCACAAACAACTACCTTGACAAGCACCATCAAAAGCAACAAACACCATTACTACCACAACTAACAGTACTAGCCTCCCTAAAAGGGCAATTTAGTCACCACTATAAACACAGCAAGCACAATAAAAGTAACATCATATAATCAGTTACAAGCACTACCACAATAAAAAAAAAACAACCATAAGCATTATTGAAACCTCATTACAAGCTCCATTAAAAATATTATGATAAACACAATAAAGACACCATTAGAGCAGCATCAAAAACAGCAGCACTACTTACTGCTCTCGTCTGTGGTCCCGTTGTTGCAGCTATCATTAGTGTAAGCTCCTTCTGTAGTGTTGGCTGCTACACAGACAGTGTAGCTGGTCCAGGCGTCGAGGTCGGTGATGGTGTAACTTAACAAGCTGGTGAGATGTTCTCCATTAACTACATCTTCACCAGCTTGTCTCCAGGTAATCTTATAGGTAATGATGCAGTTCCCGGCACCTTGTGCCTCGGGCCAGCTGACTGCCAGATGAGAAGATTGATTCATCACTGTAGTCACGTTGATGTCCGAGACTGGCTCAGGATCTGGTGGTGATTAGTAGTAAGAAACAATGTATGCAAGAAAAATATTCCAGCAATAAAATATAACAATAATAAATCTAATTATGTTTCTATCACGGAAGAAAGATGCAATTTGAACAAAATTTAAATATGTTAATTTTAAAACCATTTGGTTACAGAATGTTGATTGAATATCACCTGTACAACACCTGCTCAAAATACTTTTATCTCTAAAACTAAATTTAACAAAAACTCCAAGCATATATACCGGCACACTACGAAGTGCACAACTCTCAGTATGTATGACCTTGTATAGCATCTCCTGTTTAAGAAGGTCGTTGTCTTACTGCAGCTGAGACTGTGAACCAGAAACCAAATATGGTGTAATTAAAAGTGTAGGAGTATTTCTTAATGATGGTTTGGTAATAGAAAGTTTTCCGGTTTGCTAAAGCATTATATTTATAAATTCTAGTCATTAAATGCCGTTTTGATTTTCTTATATGTGAGGCTTTTCAGCACTCACTTGTATATTTGTAAACTATTAGAGGATTCAAGGTTAATAGAAATGCAATTTTTCACCTTAAAAAAATCTTCGGGTCGTGATTTTTTTTTAATTTCAAAGTGTTTCTAACATTAACTTTCTAAAAGAATTTATGAAGTGTTTTATGTAACATTAATGATGTGTTGCCCACAATAAGTAAATGTCCACACAGAAAATGAGATGAATTTTGGGCAGTAGAGACATTTGATAACCCCAAATGTGGTTATTATTATAACCACATTTGTTGTTATAATAATAACCACAATTTTTTAATGGGTGGAGGGGTAAGCCAATGGAAAGTCTCGGTCAGATTACCAAAAGCTCCAGCTGTGGGTCATCATATGTCTAAGACACACGTCAGCAAACACTTGTCATCTTTCCTTACAAACCTACCTAACCCAAGCTAACCTCGACGGTCCCCTCAAGGGAGGTTCTTTGACGCTGGTGAGGGGCTCTTAATCTAGGGAACCGGATCTGTGCTCCAGTTCCCTGAATCGAGTCTGAATACCTTCCATTCACCCCCCCCTCCACAGGCGCTGTATAATCCCTACGGGTTTAGAGCTCCCCCAAAGTTACTAATTAATGACTACGTGGGTGAACAAAATGTTTTTCATTTAAGAGTTTTAGAGAAACACTGAAGGGAAATTATTTCTGATAATTCCCTCTAAGAAAATAAAAGTCGATATTATTGTCGAATGACTGAAATTATTACATTTACCCTTGATGTGTGTCTTTCTCTGTCTGTCTGTATGTAGTCTCTCTCTCTCTCTCTCTCTCTCTCTCTCTCTCTCTCTCTCTCTCTTTCTCTTTCTCTTTCTCTCTCTCTCTCTCTCTCTCTTCTCTTCTCTTTCTCTTCTCTTTGTCTTCTCTCTCTCTCTCTTCTCTCTCTCTCTCTCTCTCTCTCTCTCTCTCTCTCTCTCTCTCTCTCTCTTCTCTCTCTCTCTCTCTCTCTCTCTCTCTCTCTCTCTCTTCTCTCTTCTCTCTCTCTCTCTCTCTCTCTCTCTTTCTCTCTCTCTGTCTCTCTCTCTTTCTCTCTTTCTCTCTCTCGATCACATAAAAGTTAATGTCTGGATCATAATCTTAGCTCTTAGTCTCAGACTTAACAAATTGGTGCGTCTTCCATTAAGATTTGGACTGATTTTGGCTGTGTATTTACCAACTTTATTGAAGATATTGTGATACTGATTCCATGTCATAATGTTTCAATGTCATTACCACTTACATTAAACCCTCAATGTTGATGTATGTTTCTTAAAGAAATGTTGGAATTACTACCATCCTTGGCTGGTTTTAGGGTGTGATTTTCTGTACAGTTCCTGGACATTTTGCAGATGTTAAACTACCTACGTTAGATGATAAGTAAGACACAGGTGCAATAGTTAGGTATTTTTATCTCGAAGTATTTCGCTAGTGCAATAGGCTTCTTCAGTCGAAGACAGAAGTAGAGACGATGTAATGAGTCCATTACCCTTGAAGACGTAGTTTTTAGGTGGTCAGTCCCTCAACCTGAAGAAGAGAGTTTTGCTTTGTAGTCTGGAACAATGTGAAACTAAAGCAACAGAATAGAGACATTCTGTCAAGGTGAGACGCTAGAATTCTTGAGTGCGTTAAAACTCTTGGGAACCTTCAAGGTCTTAAGTTACAACAAGCAAACCTCTTGGCAAGACTGAACTTTAGCTCCTATGTCTTTTAAAGAAGTTAAGCTGAAGCAGTTCCTCTTGGTAGGTGCAAGTAGAGACGAAGGGGCTAGAAACTTAGAAGTTAATGACGGCCCTGAGATATTCCTTGTGACTGGGTTAAGGTGAATTATGCCAAGTTTATGGAATATGAGAGATTTCTTTCTCAGACAAGGCACCGGCTAAAATGAATCAAGCATTTTTATAGTATTTAACTGGGTTCGACTCTAACTTCTGAACATTCAAAAATGCTCCTGTGCATTTTTTAATTGCAAGAACGTTTATTCGGATCAACTAACATTGTGAGAAATAAATCCTGGAGGAATATTTTTTTTTTTTTTTGAAAAAATTAATGTTAAATTTGTTTGAATTACGTTTTATACTGTAATATTTTACCATTCATTCGATTACGAGTTGTGGAGAAATTTTCTCGAGGAGAGGGTATCAACCCCCTTCAGCCCCTTTCAGCCCTGAGGGGCCCAGCCCTCTCAGAAGGGGCAAGCATGTTGTTTATTGCTACATCTAGTAATTACCAGCAGATGTTTAACCAGCGTGTACCAGTTACATGGTCACGCGGCTCTTTGCAAGAGACCACTGTTGCAAGAGTGCAGCTTAAATAAGATACAATCAATCTTTTGCCTTAGCAGGACAATTAAGGAAAATCCTGCACTAACTTTATTACCATGGTAAAGATAGTGTACTTTGTTGTCTATGCTTAAACAGCAAGAATCAAGCATTCTGCATTGCTTCCTGGTGGAAGTTTGGCAAGGAGGGGAAATGTGCTAGGTCAGTTTTTCCTTTATGTGCTGGAGCATTGGCGGCGAGGTAGGTGCTGTGGCGTCTTGAGGCTGCTTTTGACCCTGCTGGGGGAAACATTGACACCGGGATAACCAACAAAGAACACTGATCCACGCGTTTTTGTGCATAGAAGTATCTCGAAGAACACATCTAAACACTTACAGAAAAGTGTGATCAGCTTCTTTAGTGATAAAATTGTGAATGATAAAGACACACCTTGTGGAACATAGTGTACCAGTGTGGAAGATGTGGACATCCAAGGACACATTAGCTTCTATCAAGTCACCTATATCTGTCGAAGTTTCAAACAACACCATAGTTCATACTACAAGAGCAAGGTAGGTTTGGAACTATCTTTTATTACAGGCGACTGTGCAGTTCTTGTGTCACAAGGGGTTGGAAATCATCCTATAGTCGGAGTGTGCGGACTTTTGAGTCAACACACTTGAGTATTGGATCCAGTCAGCAATCAGTTTCTGAGATATGCTGGCATCACACCCCCTAGGGGTAATTATAGTCACCCATAATTTATTTTTCAGCCCGTTGAAGGATGCATAGGACAGCTTCTCGAGACATCGCCTGCAGGGACAGCTGTGTAGGCAAAAGCTATCAAGATAAGTCTCCCCTACAATCCACTATTTAATCTCTGGAGTTTACCTGGAGAGAGTTCTGGAGGTCAACGCCCCCGCGGCCCGGTCTGTGACCAGGCCTCCTGGTGGATCAGAGCCTGATCAACCAGGCTGTTACTGCTGGCTGCACGCAATCCAACGCATGAGCCACAGCCCGGCTGGTCAGGTACAGACTGTGAGGGAAAAGTTCAATAGATAGGAGTAGCGAGGGAGTATATAGTAACAATAGTTTCATTGCCGGCTACTTGTTAAGGTAGGGTAAGTCAAGCTCCCGCTATTCCTGCCTTTTTTCCCCCTCCCCGAAAGTGATAGTTTGACTGCCGGCTGCTTGTTAAGGTAGGGTCAGTCTAGCTCCCGCTATCCCTTCCCCTCCTTCTCCCCCCCCCCGAAAGGTGACGTGTGGGGCTCTGGTCCAAAGAGTAATCACTAGACTCACAGCTCCCAGCACTACTGTAAGTACATGCCTGCCTTGTATTCTAGTGGATTTATTGGTTGAAAGCTTCACTTTCGACCAATAATAAACCTAGTCCTTTCAGTCTTGCTCTAAAGTTGACTGTTGTAATAATCACCATATCTTTTAGGTATTGTACTTATCATGGAGAGTGATTTCTTAAGCAGTGGGTAACCTGTCTATCTTTCCAGCTTGGATGACAGAGAGGGTCACCTGCCAATCAACGAGTAGAACTGATGGAGATGGACTAACGTCCTGAGACTTCCCCTTTTTGGATTTAATTACCTGTGCACCTGTATGAAATTGCAGGACATAACCCCTCATCATTGCAGCGGTAAAGAACCTGCTTTCCTGTCATCGGGATAGAATACTCACGGCAATACTGTGAAGAATGAACCGGTGGGTTGTAACCAACACCTGCGATCCCCCCCCCATCATCAGCAACGGCTACGATTTCAACAACACGCAGTGTCACCAACACCAGACACTCAAGTTTTATATTAGCGTTGAATTCAGTTATCATTTATATTTTTCATTTTTCATTTTCTTTAATGTAGGATTAATATTTCATATTTAAGTGTTTTATATTTTATATTTTCTATATAATAAAGTGTTTATGTTTGTCTGTTATTATTTCTTTTTCTATTCATTAATTTTCCTGAGGAGGAGCAAGCCTTGGTAATACTGTCTGAAGTTATTACAGGGCTGAGTAAGCCTTCACACCGACTTTAGGTGCTTGTCCAGTGCCTGCATGAAGACTGCCAGGGGTCTATTCGTAATCCCCCTTATGTATGCTGGGAGGCAGTTGAACAGTCTCGGGCCCTTGACACTTATTGTATTTTCTCTTAACCTGCTAGTGACACCCCTGCTTTTCATTGGGGGGATGTTGCATCGTCTGCCGAGTCTTTTGCTTTCGTTGTGAGTGATTTTCGTGTGCAAGTTCGGTACTAGTCCCTCTAGGATTTTCCAGGTGTATATAATCATGTATCTCTCCTGCCTGCACTCCAGGGAGTACAGGTTCAGGAACTTCAAGCGCTCCCAGTAATTGAGGTGTTTTGTCTCCGTTATGCGCACCGTGAAGGTTCTCTGTACATTTTCTAGGTCCATTTTCTGCCTTGGTTTGTAGCATTATCCTCAATATGAGTAATTTTAAAAATAGTTTAGTTCAGTTATGAATATATTTTATAATGTATTTGAAACTAACAACGTTGAACAAAGAATTTTTTGTTCTGAAAAATGAGTATTTTTTTTTTTTTACCGTGAGTCAGTGTTGATATAGATTGGTGAACTTCATGGCCGGCTTCATCTGCTTCATACCAGGGCTGGAGAGTGACAGTGTAGTTAGTACACGACACAAGACCTGTGATAGTATACGTGTTGTTATCATCAGTGACATTGTGAGTCCCACCGTTGTCCTCGGGACTCCAGCTGATGGTGTAATAGGTCGCTCCTGACACTTCACCCCACACAGCCTCTATACTGTTTGTTGACGATGTCAGCTCAAGTGTTTGATTATCTGGCGAGAAAAAAAATGACAAAGATAATTTTAATTAATGATGCACCACAGGAAGAGGAGGATACATTTAGTAACTGTCAGAATATTTTCTGACTCTAAGGTTACATCTCTCGGGCGTTGAGCTACAGCTCCCGCGCATCTCATGGGCGTTGAGCTTCAGCTCTCGTCCATCTCTTGGGCGTTGAGCTATAGCTCCTATGCATCTCACGGGCATTGAGCTACAGCTCCTGTGCATCCTTTGAATGCTCATGTACAGCTCCTGGACCTTTAGATAGTCTTAAATTACAAGGAGGTCTACGCAGATCAAGTTCAAACATTAACACAGTCTTCTCGTACTACCACCAAGGTTCAGTTAGTTACTACCACCAAGGTTCAGTTAGTTACTACAACCAAGGTTCAGTTTGTTACTACCACCAAGGTTCACTTAGTTACTACCACCAAGGTTCACTTAGTTACTACCACCAAGGTTCACTTAGTTACTACTACCAAGGTTCAGTTAGTTACTACCACCAAGGTTCACTTAGTTACTACCACCAAGGTTCAGTTAGTTACTACCACCAAGGTTCACTTAGTTACTACCACCAAGGTTCAGTTAGTTACTACCACCAAGGTTCAGTTAGTTACTACCACCAAGGTTCAGTTAGTTACTACCATCAAGGTTCAGTTAGTTACTACCACCAAGGTTTAGTTAGTTACTACCACCAAGGTTCACTTAGTTACTACCACCAAGGTTCACTTAGTTACTACCACCAAGGTTCAATTAGTTACTACCACCAAGGTTCAGTTAGTTACTACCACCAAGGTTCAGTTAGTTACTACCACCAAGGTTTAGTTAGTTACTACCACCAAGGCTCAGTTAGTTACTACCACCAAGTACCACCAAGGTTCAGTTAGTTACTACCACCAAGGTTCAGTTAGTTACTACCACCAAGGTTCAGCTAGTTACTACCACCAAGGTTCAGTTAGTTACTACCACCAAGGTTCAGTTAGTTACTACCACCAAGGTTCAGTTAGTTACTACCACCAAGGTTCAGCTAGTTACTACCACCGAGGTTCAGCTAGTTACTACTACCAAGGTTCAGCTAGCTACTACCACCAAGGTTCAGTTAGTTACTACCACCAAGGTTCAGCTAGTTACTACCACCAAGGCTCAGTTAGTTACTACCACCAAGGTTCAGTTAGTTACTACCACCAAGGTTCAGCTAGTTACTACCACCAAGGTTCAGTAGTTACTACCACCAAGGTTCAGCTAGTTACTACCACCAAGGTTCAGTTAGTTACTACCACCAAGGTTCAGTTAGTTACTACCACCAAGGTTCAGTTAGTTACTACCACCAAGGTTCAGTTAGTTACTGGAATATACTCGAGCTAACAGGAATATTTCACTTTAACAAGTTTAGAAAACTTTATCTGCACTAAACTAAGAATGCCTCATCTGATCGGCATCAAACTTTCAGCCCCGGTATATTTTTGTAAATGGCGAGTGGGCAATATAAGTCCAACTTCTCTAATTTTAATAGAATAATTTGAATTTCAGTTTCCGTGTGATAACTGCGCAATACATCTTCCAATCGGCATCAGACCTTTAAAGTTTTTTTTTTTATTGATCCTGGGATAAATAACTACGAAATTACTTCAGGAAATCAACATAAAACTTACAGCGCTGATACAGGTTCTTAAATAGTTTGTGAGACTGCAGTTCTTGACCTTTGTAAGCTCATTGACATAGTCCTGGGCCTTGCGAGGTGTTAGACTTCTTGCATGTGTTAAGCTCAAGCTCCGAGAACTTTCAAAGTTGTTGATCTCTAGTTTCTGATCTCCCAGGAAGTGTGAATTATTTATGTCACGCAGCTCTTCTGCCTAGTGACTGTTCTGATGTACAAGTGTTGTTATTCTGGCGTGAACTGACCTCCAGGTTACTCTGGTAACGCTACTCTGGTAACACTACTCTGGTAAACACTACTCTGGTAACACTACTCTAGTAACACTACTCTGGTAACACTACTCTGGTAACACTACTCTGGTAACACTACTCTGGTAACACTACTCTGGTAACACTACTCTGGTAACACTACTCTGGTAACACTACTCAGGTAACACTACTCAGGTTGTGATGTAGTTCAGCTGGGCTTGTGAGGTCTCTGGGGAGACCTAATTTAACCAATTATATGGTCACACCTTGCCTTGGCAAACGTTTGTAGCCACGCCCACGACTGAGGTCTTTTGTTCTTGACGGCGTCAGACCTAGGCGTCAGGTCGTACACGTGGTTGTGGAGGGTGCTTGGACCACCATAAAAGCCCAAGGAAGAGCATGATCAAGAGATTCGTGCGGAGCACTGGCCTGGGTGCATAGCTCCGAGCAGAGACTTCGAGAGGAGCTGCTGCTGGGGTACAGGGCTCGGGAGAAGGCTGCTGAAATTTCTGGAAGAGACTGTTGGAGGCATTGGGCAGAGTACTGGCTTGGCGCAGTACTCGTGCTGTGTAGGTCTTGGGATCTGTGGCTTAGTTCCTGTGATGAACTGCCCTTTGAACTATATTGTAAGTTACATTCATTTTGGTCAAGTTGATTGTATTCCCTGTCTCACTGCTTATACATACCATCCCATTTGTCTAAACCACAATGATGTACTCCTGTTCCCAAATATATTATTGTACAAGGACTTAATAATAAACTGTGTTTGAGTAGAATAGTAATATTCACTGTCCCCGTTATTTATTCTTATTTCCATTTATTTATGTTTAGTTAAAGTAGTGAGAGGGTGAGTAGTGTGGAGTGGTGGGTAGAGTAATGAGAGGTGAAGTTGTAGTCACCAGTGACCTCACATTACCTACTGACTCCGGCCATACAATAGAGCGGAAAAATAATGTAAGGGACCTGGGAGTAGTAATGTCTGAGGATCTCACTTTCAAGGATCACAACAGTGCCACGATCGCACGTGCAAAGAAAATGATAGGATGGATAATGAGAACTTTCAAAACGAGAGATGCCAAGCCCATGATGATCCTTTTCAAATCACTTGTTCTCTCTAGGCTGGAATACTGCTGTACATTAACATCTCCATTCAAAGCAGGTGAAATCGCAGATCTAGAGAGTGTACAGAGATCCTTTACTGCACGTATAAGTTCTGTCAAGCACCTTAACTACTGGGAACGCTTGGAAGCACTTGACTTGTACTCGTTGGAACGCAGGATGGAGAGATATATCATAATCTACACTTGGAAAATCTTGGAAGGAATGGTCCCAAATCTGCACACAGAAATCACTCCCTACGAAAGTAAAAGACTGGGCAGGCGATGCAAAATGCCGCCAATAAAAAGTAGGGGCGCCATTGGTACACTAAGAGAAAACACCATAAGTGTCCGGGGCCCAAAACTGTTCAACAGCCTCCCATCAAGCATTAGGGGAATTGCCAATAAACCCCTGGCTGCCTTCAAGAGAGAGCTGGACAGATACCTAAAGTCAGTGCCGGATCAGCCGGGCTGTGGCTCGTACGTCGGACTGCGTGCGGCCAGCAGTAACAGCCTAGTTGATCAGGCCCTGATCCATCGGGAGGCCTGGTCATGGACCGGGCCGCGGGGGCGTTGATCCCCGGAATAACCTCCAGGTAACCAACCTCCGCACTCATCCCTCCTACTGCCTCGCCTGTCACCTACCTACTGACTCCCTCCCGCTTACCCCCATATTCCCCTAACCAACACCCCCCTACATGACAAGGTAACATTACTCTGGTAACACTACTCTAGTAACACTACTCTGGTAACACTTCTTAAGTAACACTACTCTGGTAACACTACTCTGGTAACACTACTCTGGTAACATTACTCTGGTAACACTACTCTGGCAACACTACTCTGGCAAACACTACCTACTCTGGCAACACTACTCTGGCAACACTACTCTGGCAACACTACTCTGGCAACACTACTCTGGCAACACTACTCTGGTAACACTTAAGTAACACTACTCTGGTAACACTACTCTGGTAACATTACTCTGGCAACACTACTCTGGCAACACTACTCTGGCAACACTACTCTGGCAACACTACTCTGGCAACACTACTCTGGCAACACTACTCTGGTAACACTACTCTGGTAACACTACTCTGGTAACACTACTCTGGTAACACTACTTAGGTAACACTATCTTGGTAACACTACTTAGGTAACACTCACCCGCCCACAGGATGCCACACACATAAGTATACTAATTCCTAGTTATCTATTTAATGTTAAAATTAACAAGGTCAGCAGTAACTAGACTTCCTCAGCGTCTTCACCGGGTTCTGATGGATCAACAAAACTGTTGTCCAGTACACTAACACTGTGGCAGACAAGTCATGAAGCAGAACTGTTCATGTTTTGGAAAAATCTTTTGTCAAATTTGCTTAAATTTTTAAATCTGAATATTTATCATTCTCTTCGTTATGGGCAATTTGAAAATTTAAGTTATTTTATGAATATATTTTATAATATATTTAAAATTAACAACACTAAATATATGTATTTTTTTAATAGAAATTGGGTAATAGTTTATTTTTTTTACCAAAATGCAGTGTTGATGCTGTTGACTGTTGTTCACTGGCTTCATTTGTTTCAGTCCAGGGCTGGAGAGTGACAGTGTAGTTAGTACACGACACAAGACCTGTGATAGTATACGTGTTGTTACCATCAGTGACATTGTCAGTCCCACCGTTGTCCTCGGAAGTCCAGCTGATGGTGTAATAGGTCGCTCCTGACACTTCATCCCACACAGCCTCTATACTGTTTCTTGACGATGTCAGCTCAAGTGTTGGATTATCTGGCGAGAAAAAATGACAGATATTTTTAATTAATGATGCACCACAGGAAGAGGAGGATACATTTAGTAACTGTCAGAATATTTTCTGGCTCTAAGGCACCGTGTGATAACTAGAGAACGCCTCTTCTGATCGGCTTCAAACTTTTAAAGTTGATGTATGTTACATTAAGGGAGGTTAGAGTTATTAGGATAAGCAGACTTTTCGCATGGATACCACTTTGAGAGTGGTATCCATGCGAAAATTTTGAATTCAGTTACTGCGGCTAAAAGTAACAGCCTGGTTGCTCAGGCCCTGGTCGACCATGAGGCCTGATCACAGACCAAGCCGCGGGGGCGTTGACCCCCGGAACCCTCTCCAGGTCCAGGTTGTTCAATAATTACATTCTTACTTAAACTAGTGGACTCCGCCTCTTCTGTCGTCAAGATTTTCTGTCTGTCAGAACTACGTCTTCAAGGGTGACGAGATGCTTACGTAGTCTTTACATCTCGACACCATGTTATGCTGCGTCCTCTGTACTCGACTGAAGAAGCCTACTGTGTAAGTGAAACGTTTCGGGATAAAAATACCTGATTGCTTCACGTATGTCTTATCAGCAATCCTCGCAGCTGTATATCACTCAGGGAATACTTAAGTTTGTTATTATCTGTACAGGTGTAAATAAAACTAAAGATAGTTGATTTTTTGTGTGAGTATTTGAAAATGTCTTCCTGTAAAACTTTAAACTTAAGTCGGTAGTGTATAAGACTCCATTGATGATTGTAACTAAGTTGAATATTTATCAACCAGGGAGAAGCATGCATCAAACACTAATGAAAATAATGGGGGATGATGCTTACATAGGTGTCAGATATAGATGAAAATGAGTTATTTTATATAGGTATTGTAAGCAAACACAATATAATTAAGGAACCAATCACAGTTTTCTTGTCTTAATATTTATATCATTGACAAGTGAGTATTTAAACACTCCAGTAATATCATTAAGCATTCCCTGGTTACAATACGTTGAAATGATGACACCGATCAAATAATGTGTTCAAGTTATAAACGAAAACTTTGGAGGAAGAAATTAATTAGAAACCGACGAACAGTTTTCCTTCCGGGAGTTGTAACAAGACCTGAGCTAGTCCAACCTGACTATGGATACTATAACAGTGACAAACACTGAGTCCCTGAAGCAGGCTCGTAGTATATTATAACAATTCCCGTTATTCTTTACGTTTTCCAGAATTAAGATATATTTTACGTGAAGGAAGGAAATTAAAAAGATTCCCATCGATAGATGGTAACCTGTAACACTTAACACCTGACCTTATCCCAGTTAATAATGTGCTTGAGAGGTTTGGCAAGAGTTCCTACAAAAATTTGTTTATAGTTTGTGCCCATTAAAGATTTTAACAATCTTCAAGTAAACACATGTGAAGAGTAGACACGTTTGCTTAGTGAGAATAGTTAATTTTATTGTTAAGATTGTTTGATGTTTCCAAGTTACCATTGTTAATAAAACTCAAATATACCAAATATGTCACACTCAAAACAGGACTTTAAAGTCGTTGTTTATGTCATCATAATTCAATGTGTCCTCAAGATACGTCATAAATTATATCGAAGTTAGAAAATGATCGTTCTTACAAACTTTTTTTTTTTAACAGATCAGTTTTACAGGCTGAGATTTATCTTCAGCGTAACTAACACCCAGGTACCTACTTACTGCTAGGTGGACAGGGACAGCAGGTATAAGTAAACATGCCCAACTCTTCCACCCTTACCGGGAATCGAGCCTCAAACACTCAGTTTCTGAGGTGAGTGCGCTGCCAACCGAGCACGGGACACCTTTAATAAGTAAACATATGATAACTCCTGATGGATAACAAAACAGCTGATAAACATGACGTATACATGAATGTACTAGAGGGAACACAAAAGTACCAGAGCACTTCCAAACAAGACAAATAACAAAGATTTAAAACGTATGTTTATTAAACCATACCCCCGGCCGGGATTGAACCCGCGGTCATAGAGTCTCAAAACTCCAGCCCGTCGCGTTAGCCACTAGACCAGCTAGCCACAATAAGATTCATCCAACTAGGTATATTTCTACACCATAGGAAGGTTAGCACAGGCACCACTGTGACCACAAGTTTATTCTTAGAGATGTTTAAACAATGATATAGGGCGAATATTTACCTTTAACGCTTTGAGGAGGATCATCGTCATCACTCTGAAAGAAAAATATGCAACTGAGCATCCAACTTCCAAGAAAAAAAACAGTTTTAATTTAGTATGTAAGGTTGCATTATGGTGTTTATTTCCACTGACTTGATACAGTGTCGTCTACGATAAAGGAACAATATAAAAACAAGCCGCACATAGAACGAAACATGATGTTTCAGTCCGACCGAAACCTCATGAGTTTCATTCTCCTATGTGTAGATATTTGTGTACAACAGAGTGTACGTGTGTGCTGATGTACAGTACACACAAACTGTGAACTTAAATACTGAGTTAACATGACTGATGAAGTTTTAGTGAGTATTGTTTATACAGTAAAGTATTTAATATATAATTTAGTGGAGAGAAACGTTAAAACATCAGAACATTACGAAGGATTATTATACATAAACCATGCAACGGGTGGGGTTTAAACCCGCGGTCAGTCTCAAAACTCTGACCGCGGGTTCTAACCCAACCGTGGTATGGTTTGTTTGCAATCGTGTCATTACGATTTCGTGAGTCATTATTATATATATTTTCACAGAAAATACTTAAACAATATGGAAGAAAAACAACCGTAATTTACTTAAGTAACCTAGTGAACATCACTGAACGTGAGTGTGTTCCAAATACTTCTAAAACACGATCACAACGTCTCTATTAGTTAAAGGAATCTTATGTTAAATTATACGGTTAGTTTTACATGTGAGTGAATATAATCCCTAGACAGAGTCCTGCAGTGATTTAATTAAGAGTGACCACTTGAACGATACAGTGAACGGAGTCAGTGAGTGAAGAAGCAGTGTATTCTGGGGGTTAACTGACCTGTTGCAGTAGCTGTGCGTCGCTCTGCTGTCTCGTCACAGCTACGAACAGCAGCAGTAAACTGCAACAGAGGTTCATGTTGGGATATATTATTCCCTGGTGTTGTGAAGAAGATTGTCACATGAGATGACTGAGAAATACAATACAGTTCAGTAAGTCCTCGCACCATTATCTTTACGTCTTTATTGATAACCAAGCAACTGTTCCCTCTTATCTGATAACCGATAACCAACTTATCTATGAATGTTTTTATCAGTAAAGATTATCTCTGAGAAATATGCACAATGATAATCACTTGTTTTTAAATAAGTAGGCGGTGTCCCACCGAGGCAGGGTGACCGAAAAAGAAAGAAAACCCAAAAAGAAAGAAATCTTTCACCATCATTCAACACTTTCACCATCACTCATACATAATCACTGTCTTTGTAGAGGCGCTCAGATACCACAGTTTAGAAGTCACTCCAAACTCCCAATATCCCAAACCCTTCCTTTAAAGTGCAGTCATTGTACTTCCCATTTCCAGGACTCAAGTCCAGCTAACTGGTTTCCCTGAATCAGTTCACCAAATATTACTCTGCTCACACTCCAACAGCTCGTCAGGTCCCGAAAACCATTCGTCTCCATTCAATGTCTTCTCTAATTTTAGCTGGTACTATCTGGAGGGTGTTCGCGGGGGGGGGGCAACGCCCCTGCGACCCAGACCTCTTGGTGGATCAGGGCCTGATCAACCAGGCTGTTACTGCTGGCCGCAAATAGTCCAACATACGAACCACAGCCTGGCTGATCCATGCCTGTCCAGCTTCCTCTTCCAAACATCCAGGCGTCTATTGGTAATTTCCCTTATGGTGTATTTTATTTTCCACCATTTTCATAAAAAAAATAAAAATAATAGACAAGATAGTACCTTATCTATCACGCTGTCTATTTGACTGACTTTGCCAACAAAATATATTTAAAATTAAAATCACCTCTTACGATTTTTTTTTTTTTAAGATTATATATTTCTTTTCGCAAGTTTATCTCGTGGCGCGACTAAAATTAATTTATTTGCCAATTTTATATTGTATTCTTAACAAATTTAACTTATGAATTGATGTAGTATCATGAATACTTTAAAAAAAACGGTCTTAAGATCGGCATTAGTGAAAGAGGGAGGTGAATCACTTGCCAACACTAACAGACTAATTGATCAGGGTTTCTTCTCGTTCGTGACCTGTCTATTAGCAGTAATAACAGACAAGCTTTAGTTGTTGGCAAAATGAGATTAGTGAAAAATAATTATTTAGTAAGTCCAGGAGGATAGTTGTATACTAAATTATCAAAAATATATGTATTTAATTAGTCTATTTATGTTCAATTTTATTACATATTAGGCTGCCAGAACCTTACATAGGTGAGGCTGCCAGAACCTTACATAGGTGAGGCTGCCAGAACCTTACATAGGTGAGGCTGCCAGAACCTTACATAGGTGAGGCTGCCAGAACCTTACATAGGTGAGGCTGCCAGAACCTTACATAGGTGAGGCTGCCAGAACCTTACATAGGTGAGGCTGCCAGAACCTTACATAGGTGAGGCTGCCAGAACCTTACATAGGTGAGGCTGCCAGAACCTTACATAGGTGAGGCTGCCAGAACCTTACATAGGTGAGGCTGCCAGAACCTTACATAGGTGAGGCTGCCAAGTTCAGCCTTCTAAGCTTAGGTTTCTAAGCAACATTAGGTGAGGTTGCCAAGTTACATTAGATGAGGTTGCCATGTTACATTAGGTGAGGTTACCAAGTTACGTTAGGTGAGGTTACCATGTTATGTTAGGTGAGGTTACCATGTTACATTAGGTGAGGTTGCCAAGTTATGTTAGGTGAGGTTACCAGGTTACATTAGGTGAGGTTGCCAAGTTACATTAGGTGAGGTTACCAAGTTACGCTAGTTGAGGTTACCAAGTTACGTTAGACGAGGTTACCAAGTTAAGTTAGGTGAGGTTACCAAGTTACGTTAGGTGAGGTTACCAAGTTATGTTAGGTGAGGTTACCAGGTTACATTAGGTGAGGTTACCAAGTTACACTAGTTGAGGTTACCAAGTTACGTTAGGTGAGGTTACCAAGTTACGTTGGGTGAGGTTACCAGGTTACATTAGGTGAGGTTACGAAGTTATGTGAGGTGAGGTTACCAAGTTACGTTCAGTGAGGTTACCAAGTTATGCGAGGTGAGGTTACCAAGTTATGTTAGGTGAGGTTACAAAGTTACATTAGATGAGGGTTACCAAGTTACGTTAGGTGAGGTTACCAAGTTACGTTAGGTGAGGTTACCAAGTTACGTTAGGTGAGGCTGCCAAGTTACGTTAGGTGAGGTTACCAAGTTACATTAGGTTAGGTTACCAAGTTACATTAGGTGAGGTTACCAAGTTACATTAGGTGAGGTTACCAAGTTACATTAGGTGAGGTTACCAAGTTACATTAGGTGAGGTTACCAAGTTACATTAGGTGAGGTTACCAAGTTACGTTAGGTGAGGTTACCAAGTTACATTAGGTGAGATTACCAAGTTACATTAGGTGAGGTTACCAAGTTACATTAGGTGAGATTACCAAGTTACATTAGGTGAGGTTACCAAGTTACATTAGGTGAGGTTACCAAGTTACATTAGGTGAGGTTACCAAGTTACATTAGGTTAGGTTACCAAGTTACATTAGGTGAGGTTACCAAGTTACATTAGGTGAGATTACCAAGTTACGTTAGGTGAGCAAAATACCTTTCCTTCGCACCAGACTTTTCCTTTTTTTTTTTGCCTCATTTTCTTCGTCTTATCACGGGTCAGAAGTCTTCAAGGAACATGTAAGTGTCATTATGATTTCTTGAGTTATATAAGTCCCCCCTTCCTCCCAGGTTCAATATTCTTCTCAGTACCTGTTATGAACAGGACCTGTAGACCACTTTACTACAGTGCTTCATGTAACCAACTCATAAAGAACAGGATTATCTCATCTAGAAGTCATCATACACACTGTTCACTTATTGAGAAAAATTAATCTTTATAGTTTCTGCTCGTTTTATTATCTACATTAATAATCACTTAAGGTTTCTATCATGAATTAAGTAATTCACTGGTCTAAGATGGTGGCTGACTTGGACCTGCACCGCATAGGGCAGTAGGCCTGCTGCAGTGTTCCTTCCTTCTTATGTTCTTATATCGTAATCACTATAAGTAAAAACATATTTCATTAGTCTTATTATTACATCACTGTAATCTGTTAAATATTTACAACCAGTTCTAGACAGAGTTTTTAGACTCGATTACAATGAGTCAAAGATATGTGTGTACATACACAGGCGTTTTACAAACTTAAAGGCCACACTGACGCAACTAACAGAGTCCTTCCACTGGGACCATTCTACAATAATCCCTTTTATAGAGTCTATATACGGCGTAACACTTAGACTCGTTCACTTATTAGTATTTTCCTCTAGAGTCTCTCAACCGCCTTCTCAAACACAGATATACCATAGCAAAGGGCTTCCAAAATTCCTGGTAACTTCAGTGCTTAAAGCCAGATTCTCCACCAGACTCTTCCTCGACCAGTGGAAGGTGTGAATTACTCTAGGTCAGGTGTTAACACCAGACGTCAGCTCTGGTCTGAGCGAGGGTTAAGTAACTTAAATTGCCTCCTGGTGCTTCACCTCGTCGCTCCAGTAGTTCAGAACATTGAAAAATCCTATCTACTTATAAAACTAAATAAATTTATGGCCAGATAATATGAAGCTGAGTAAATTCAATTAAGCTATTAATGAAGATACTCCTTAATATAATATAAAGTTTAAAAGCCAAAAATAACACGTAAAAATATATAATCTATTTCTTTAAATGAACAAAGGGCGTATTAGAATTATTATTAGAATCATGGGGGAGCGCTAAACCCATAGGATTATACAGCGCATGTGGGGGGGATGGAAGGTATTCAGCCTCAATTCAGGGAACAGTAGCACACCTCCAATTCCCTAGATCAAGAGCCCCTCACCACCGTCAAGGAACCTCCTTTGAGGGGGAGAGGGCGTAACAGTACCAGATTTGTCACTTGTCACGGCATGTATGGTGACGCTTCTGCTTGTGTATATAATGCGCCCTGTTCCACAGTCATAATAAAATTGATGTTCTTCCATTAACTAGGAATAACGTATATAACATCCGCTAGTGTTACTGCGGCCACCATCACCTGAAGTTCACTCTGTGTGTAGTGACAGTACTGGTTCACTCTGTTGTGTAGTGACAGTACTGGTTCACTCTGTTGTGTAGTGACAGTACTGGTTGACTCTGTGTGTAGTGACAGTACTGGTTCACTCTGTTGTGTAGTGACAGTACTGGTTCACTCTGTTGTGTAGTGACAGTACTGGTTCACTCTGTTGTGTAGTGACAGTACTGGTTCACTCTGTTGTGTAGTGACAGTACTGGTTCACTCTGTTGTGTAGTGACAGTGCTGGTTCACTCTGTTGTGTAGTGACAGTACTGGTTGACTCTGTTGTGTAGTGACAGTACTGGTTGACTCTGTTGTGTAGTGACAGTACTGGTTGACTCTGTTGTGTAGTGACAGTGCTGGTTGACTCTGTTGTGTAGTGACAGTACTGGTTGACTCTGTTGTGTAGTGACAGTACTGGTTCACTCTGTTGTGTAGTGACAGTACTGGTTCACTCTGTTGTGTAGTGACAGTACTGGTTCACTCTGTTGTGTAGTGACAGTACTGGTTGACTCTGTTGTGTAGTGACAGTACTGGTTCACTCTGTTGTGTAGTGACAGTACTGGTTCACTCTGTTGTGTAGTGACAGTACTGGTTCACTCTGTGTGTAGTGACAGTACTGGTTCACTCTGTTGTGTAGTGACAGTACTGGTTCACTCTGTGTGTAGTGACAGTACTGGTTCACTCTGTTGTGTAGTGACAGTACTGGTTGACTCTGTTGTGTAGTGACAGTACTGGTTCACTCTGTTGTGTAGTGACAGTACTGGTTCACTCTGTTGTGTAGTGACAGTACTGGTTCACTCTGTGTGTAGTGACAGTACTGGTTCACTCTGTTGTGTAGTGACAGTACTGGTTCACTCTGTTGTGTAGTGACAGTACTGGTTCACTCTGTGTGTAGTGACAGTACTGGTTCACTCTGTGTGTAGTGACAGTACTGGTTCACTCTGTTGTGTAGTGACAGTACTGGTTCACTCTGTTGTGTAGTGACAGTACTGGTTCACTCTGTTGTGTAGTGACAGTACTGGTTGACTCTGTGTGTAGTGACAGTACTGGTTCACTCTGTTGTGTAGTGACAGTACTGGTTCACTCTGTTGTGTAGTGACAGTACTGGTTCACTCTGTTGTGTAGTGACAGTACTGGTTCACTCTGTTGTGTAGTGACAGTACTGGTTGACTCTGTGTGTAGTGACAGTACTGGTTCACTCTGTTGTGTAGTGACAGTACTGGTTCACTCTGTGTGTAGTGACAGTACTCGATCACTCTGTTGTTTAGTGACAGTACTGGTTCACTCTGTTGTGTAGTGACAGTACTGGTTGACTCTGTTGTGTAGTGACAGTACTGGTTGACTCTGTTGTGTAGTGACAGTGCTGGTTGACTCTGTTGTGTAGTGACAGTGCTGGTTGACTCTGCTGTGTAGTGACAGTGCTGGTTCACTCTGTGTGTAGTGATAGTGCTGGTTCACTCTGTTGTGTAGTGACAGTGCTGGTTCACTCTGTTGTGTAGTGACAGTACTGGTTCACTCTGTGTGTAGTGATAGTGCTGGTTCACTCTGTTAAGTAGTGTCAGTGCTGGTTCACTCCGTTGTGTAGTGACAGTGCTGGTTCACTCTGTTTTGTAGTGACAGTACTGGTTCACTCTGCTGTGTAGTGACAGTGCTGGTTCACTCTGTTGTGTAGTGACAGTACTGGTTCACTCTGCTGTGTAGTGACAGTGCTGGTTCACTCTGTTGAGTAGTGACAGTACTGGTTGACTCTGTTGTGTAGTGACAGTGCTGGTTCACTCTGTTGAGTAGTGACAGTACTGGTTGACTCTGTTGTGTAGTGACAGTACTGGTTCACTCTGTTGTGTAGTGACAGTACTGGTTCACTCTGTTGTGTAGTGACAATGCTGGTTGACTCTGTTGTGTAGTGACAGTACTGGTTCACTCTGCTGTGTAGTAACAGTACTGGTTCACTCTGGTATGTAGTGACAGTACTGGTTGACTCTGTTGTGTAGTGACAGTTATGGTTGACTATGTTGTGTAGTGACAGTTATGGTTGACTCTGTTGTGTAGTGACAGTACTGGTTGACTCTGTTGTGTAGTGACAGTGCTGGTTGACTCTGTTGTGTAGTGACAGTACTGGTTGACTCTGTTGTGTAGTGACAGTTATGGTTGACTATGTTGTGTAGTGACAGTTATGGTTGACTCTGTTGTGTAGTGACAGTGCTGGTTGACTCTGTTGTGTAGTGACAGTACTGGTTGACTCTGTTGTGTAGTGACAGTACTGGTTCACTCTGCTGTGTAGTAACAGTACTGGTTCACTCTGCTATGTAGTGACAGTACTGGTTCACTCTGCTGTGTAGTAACAGTACTGGTTCACTCCGCTGTGTAGTAACAGTACTGGTCGACTCTGCTATGTAGTGACAGTACTGGTTCACTCTGCTGTGTAGTGACAGTGCTGGTTCACTCCGCTGTGTAGTAACAGTACTGGTTCACTCTGCTGTGTAGTGACAGTACTGGTTCACTCTGCTATGTAGTGACAGTACTGGTTCACTCTGCTGTGTAGTGACAGTACTGGTTCACTCCGCTGTGTAGTAACAGTACTGGTCGACTCTGCTTTGTAGTGACAGTACTGGTTCACTCTGCTGTGTAGTAACAGTACTGGTTCACTCTGCTATGTAGTGACAGTACTGGTTCACTCTGCTGTGTAGTAACAGTACTGGTTCACTCCGCTGTGTAGTAACAGTACTGGTCGACTCTGCTATGTAGTGACAGTACTGGTTCACTCTGCTGTGTAGTGACAGTGCTGGTTCACTCCGCTGTGTAGTAACAATACTGGTTCACTCTGCTGTGTAGTGACAGTACTGGTTCACTCTGCTATGTAGTGACAGTACTGGTTCACTCTGCTGTGTAGTAACAGTACTGGTTCACTCCGCTGTGTAGTAACAGTACTGGTCGACTCTGCTATGTAGTGACAGTACTGGTTCACTCTGCTGTGTAGTGACAGTGCTGGTTCACTCTGCTGTGTAGTGACAGTGCTGGTTCACTCTGCTATGTAGTGACAGTTCTGGTTCACTCTGCTATGTAGTGACAGTGCTGGTTCACTCTGCTATGTAGTGACAGTGCTGGTTCACTCTGCTATGTAGTGACAGTGCTGGTTCACTCTGCTATGTAGTGACAGTGCTGGTTCACTCTGCTATGTAGTGACAGTGCTGGTTCACTCTGCTATGTAGTGACAGTACTGGTTCACTCTGCTATGTAGTGACAGTTCTGGTTCACTCTGCTATGTAGTGACAGTGCTGGTTCACTCTGCTATGTAGTGACAGTACTGGTTCACTCTGCTATGTAGTGACAGTACTGGTTCACTCTGCTATGTAGTGACAGTGCTGGTTCACTCTACTATGTAGTGACAGTGCTGGTTCACTCTGCTATGTAGTGACAGTGCTGGTTCACTCTACTATGTAGTGACAGTGCTGGTTCACTCTGCTATGTAGTGACAGTGCTGGTTCACTCTGCTGGTTCACTAACAGAGTTGGAGTCCCACTGACGCTCGTGTGATGATAGAAGGTAATAAAATGAAACAATACTTCACTTCTATACATTATATTCGCTTTATCAAATTAATATGCTAAGTATGAAACACAATAAGGTAAGATAATGTAAGAAATCACAAATGTCCTTTGAATTTCAATATCTCTTTGCACCGTGGTTACTTTTTTGCATTTCGTGATATCACCTGTTTACCGTGATCTTATTTATTCTTATTTTATTCATCGTGGCGGTTGGCCATTTTACTCCATCAAATGCAGTAATATGGATCATATTATCTACTAATGTCACACTACAAACATGGATACATTCCCAAATTGCCCGGCTAATTCACACACAACAAAATTATGCCATGCTAGCATGAGAACAGACGTGGAAGAGCCTGGCACTCTTGCTTACTACGTACAAGTTGCACGGACCCAGCAAGACTTGGTAAGAGCTCCTTGTATTATCACTGTGCACTCATATGTTACACTTTACAGTCCCAGCCTCTCACGAGAATTGGGAATGCTATCATCCGTTACCTGGGTTGTACGGGACATGGTTAGTGTTAATGGCAGGTAGCCGGAGTGGCTAGGCAGGGAGCCAGGATTGGTGGGATGGTAGGGAGCCAACATGGGTGGGATTGTTAGGTAAGACACATATGCAACAGTTAGGTATCTTTATTTCGAAACGTTTCGCCTACACAGTAGGCTTCTTCAGTCGAGTACAGAAAAGTTGATAGAAGCAGAAGATACTTGAAGACGATGTAATCAGTCCATCACCCTTAAAGATTTGAGGTGGTCAGTCCCTCAGTCTGGAGAAGAGCATTGTTCCGTTGTCTGAAACAATATGAAGTTGAAGTGACAGGATGGAGCCTTTATATAGTGTCAGGAGGTGAGACGTAGGTTGCTTTGGGAGGGCAGGTCCCTCTCAAACCCAGCCGTTCTCATTAGTAGAGGTCGAAGTTGATGGTCTGTACCAAGTGTTGCAGTGTCTGACAGAATGAACATTAAAAATGGTATAAAATACCGACAGATTGTTAGGTAAGACACATAGTGTCTTACCTAACAATCTGTCGGTATTTTATACCATTTTTAATGTTCATGGGTGGGATGCAAGGGAGCCAGGTTAGGTGGGTGGGCGGTTAGAGAGCCAGGGTGGGTGGGTGGGCAGTTAGAGAGCCAGGGTGGGTTGGCGGGCGGTTAGAGAGCCATGGTGGGTGGGTATGCTATGGCTGGCAACTCGGATGGCTAATCAGTTGGCAGGTCCAATCTGTTCTATACTCAGGTACAGAACAAGCTTTTATTGTGGCAAAATTTCACTCTACTTAGAGCTGTATCATAACAAGTGTATCATAACAGGTGTATTTCAAACCACGGAACGGGTAGGGATTGAACCCACAGTCAGTGAGTCCTGAAACTCACAGGCCGTCCCGCGATTCGTGTCTTTCCCTAAATCCCACAGTACGCTGGTATTCCAGTCACAAGATCAGTTAGAAACACGAGTGGCGCTAGTCGAGGCTTACATACGTAGCGTCGTCAGCCTCGTTGGATTCAGTCTCGTATATGCAGTCCATATAAAATGCCATGTACTGTTCTTCATGTATATAACGTGCTGCAACGAGACAAAAAATGATGCAACAAACATAAACATATCGAGAAATATATATATTTTTTAATTATAGTACACACATACATACAGGGACTATCACAAGCACATGCAGAGGAAAGCAGTTCCTAGTTGTAAGATGCTTCAGGTGTTACATAATGTTATCCTAGTCTTAAGATGCTACAGGTGTTACATAATGTTATCCTAGTAAGATGCTACAGGTGTTACATAATGTTATCCTAGTCTTAAGATGCTACAGGTGTTACATAATGTTATCCTAGTCTTAAGATGCTACAGGTGTTACATAATGTTATCCTAGTCTTAAGATGCTACAGGTGTTACATAATGTTATCCTAGTCTTAAGATGCTACAGGTGTTACATAATGTTATCCTAGTCTTAAGATGCTACAGGTGTTACATAATGTTATCCTAGTCTTAAGATGCTACAGGTGTTACATAATGTTATCCTAGTCTTAAGATGCTACAGGTGTTACATAATGTTATCCTAGTCTTAAGATGCTACAGGTGTTACATAATGTTATCCTAGTCTTAAGATGCTACAGGTGTTACATAATGTTATCCTAGTCTTAAGATGCTACAGGTGTTACATAATGTTATCCTAGTCTTAAGATGCTACAGGTGTTACATAATGTTATCCTAGTCTTAAGATGCTACAGGTGTTACATAATGTTATCCTAGTCTTAAGATGCTACAGGTGTTACATAATGTTATCCTAGTCTTAAGATGCTACAGGTGTTACATAATGTTATCCTAGTCTTAAGATGCTACAGGTGTTACATAATGTTATCCTAGTCTTAAGATGCTACAGGTGTTACATAATGTTATCTTAGTCTTAAGATGCTACAGGTGTTACATAGCGAAGCGTTCACATGAGGTAAATTTATTTAACCTGATTTAATGAAAATAAAAATGTCAATACTTTTACACAAAAAAATGGTCAAATTTGCCGCTACACACTTGAATTTCGATCGAATTAAGAGACACATTTTTTTGAACGATGGAAGTTACTCGACTGAAGGTTCTGGAAATTATCTCAGCCATTCCAGGATGCTGACACTGGGTTCAACAACTTATGTCATAGGGCATCTGAACATAATTATTATTCCAAGCATCTGGATACCATACAGAAGGATTGAAAATTTGGAGCCTGTTGGATGAGGCCTTCTCCAGTTATTAGCAAAATAAAAGCAAAAAATGGAGTAAGACAAAAGAAGAGACAGTTTTAAAGGTCACTTTTCAGGTATACTTAATATGCCACTTACGAGACTTAGTGTTGACTTTTCTGTTGGTAGTGTTGGTGGAAGGCTGGAGTGTTTGAGTTCTGTGGGAGAGTTCCTCCCTCAGGTACCTCACATTGTCCTTAGCTCTGCGGTTATGCAGCTCCTCCATCAGGTTCTTTTGGGTGCCATCAGCTCTCTTATGTGGCGTTTCTTCCTTCAGGTGTGGCTGTGTGTTCCTTACCTGAGTCATCTGCTGTGAGAGTTTCTCTTGCAGGCGCTGCTGGGTGTCACATCCCGGGGACTGGCAAGATAAGATAAGATTAGATTTTGTTCAGATTTTTAACCCCGGAGTGTTAGCCACCCAAGAAAGGCAGTGTGTCATCGAGGGGACTGCCTGTCTTATTTCCATTTTGGTCCTTCATTCTTGTCCCACAAGATGTGACCCACACCAGATGACTAACTCCCAGGTACCTACTTACTTGCTAGGTGAACAGGAACAGTAGGTGTCTTAAGGAAACACTGCCAAAATTTCCACCCTTGCTGTGGATTGAACCAAGGGCATTCTGTGTATGAGGCGAAAGCGTTGCCTACCAGGCCACGGGACACCACAATATATACTAGACTCTATTGCATTGCTGTAAGTCACTCAGGTTACAATAAGTTGGTGAGTTGACAAAGAAGACAGCACAAGTGGGTGGGTTGAGTTGGTGGGTTAAGTGGGTGGGTTGAGTGGGTGGGTTGAGTGGGTGGGTTGAGTGGGTGGTGTACCATGAACAATATCTTAGCCAGGATATTGCTTCACACATTTTTTTGAAAATACAAAATTAATAATCTTCCACGACTTATAATTCAGTGGAACGTGAATTTTTAAGATTTATTGTAATTTTTATGTGCATCAAACACCTATAAACAATATTCACCATATTGATTATCAAACGATAATTTACTTGCATTATTGATCAGACAATTTATGATAAGAATCGGGAATTAATGTGGAAATCATATTCGTGACTATCATATTCCAGTCACTCCAGATGGAAATCATATTCGTGACTATCATATTCCAGTCACTCCAGATGGAAATCATATTCGTGACTATCATATTCCAGTCACTCCAGATGGAAATCATATTCGTGACTATCATATTCCAGTCACTACAGATGGAAATCATATTCGTGACTATCATATTCCAGTCACTACAGATGGAAATCATATTCGTGACTATCACATTCCAGTCACTCCAGACAGAAATCACTGCATAAACAAAGTTTTAAACAATGTTAGGTATACCTACAAAAACCATTACATCTTAAACTGTCGTGAGCTACAGTTTGAGCCCCGCGTTACCACTCTTCACTGTATAACTGAGGCTAAGAAACTATAGGTTTGCTGTACCTCTGGAATAACACACACTTGACATACCTGGTCATCATCGTGCTGATGGTTCCTCTTCACGTCTCGGATGGAAATTGCTGTTGTTGTTGTTTGCTATCGTTGGTAACCCAGGAGTCGGCCGCCTGTGTTATTTGAATTATTATTATTATTATTATTATTATTATTATTATTATTATTATTATTATTATTATTATTATTATTATTATTATTATTATTTGAATTATTATTATTGTAAAAGGATACAAATGCAACTAATGTGACATTTTATTGCGGCAACGTTTCACTTGACAAAGCTCCTGGAGAGCGAAACGTTGCCACAATAAAATGTCACATTAGTTGTACTTGTGTCCTCTTACCCAACATTAACTAGTCACACACTAACACATTATTACATAATTTTTACTAATAAAACTGTTTTTTTGTGAAGTAACGAGAGAATGTCACTTCTAGTGAGAAATATGTCACAGTATTTGACTATATTGGGTTATCTTAGGTCATATATGCTTAATATAACTTATGTCGGTATTTAAATGTTAAACAAAAGAACTCCAGTGGTAATATTCATCATTAGTAAGGCCTCACCTAGATTATGCAGCTCAGTTCTGGTTTCCATATTACAGAATGGATATAAATTCCTTAGAGAACATTCAGCATAGAATGACTAAATTAATTCATAGCACTAGAAATCTTCCTTACGAAGAAAGATTGAAGTTCCTTAAATTACATTCACTTGTAAGACGAAGAATGAGACGAGACATGATTAAAGTGTAGAAGTGGAAGATGGGTATTAATAAGGGGACATTAATGATGTCTTGAGGATATCCCTCTAAGAGAGAACCCGCAGTAATGGATTTAAACTAGATAAATTTAGATTTAGAAAGGATATAGGAAAGTATTGGTTTGGAAATATGGTAGTTGATGAGTGGAACAGTATACCTAGTTGGGTTATTGAAGCTAAAACCTTGGGTAGTTTCAAGTTTAGATTGGATAAATACTTGAGTGAGAGCGGTTGGATTTTAGTGGGACTTGCACATGAGTAAATAGATTTATCAGAGCTTATTGTCAGGGTAGCACTGAAAGTGGGTTGGGCAAATATTCTGTTAGTGGGTTGGATTTGTAAAAGACCTGCCAAGTATGGGCCAACAGACCTACTCCAGTGTTCTTCCTTTCTTATGTTCTTATATGTGTTCTTGTGGTTCATAAAGCAAAGTTTTTTGAAACAATAAATATAAATCAATATAATTACAGGACTTCGGGGGTCTTAATTTTCTCCTTTCTTTTTCTCCTGTAGAAGACAAGAGCGACTAGAGCAGCCACCACCAGGAGACCCCCAAATACACCGCCAACAACACTGCTAACAATAGCACCAACAGTTACGTTTTCACCAGTCGTCACCACTTGTACTTGTGCTGAAGCTCCCCAGCCTGCCACGGTCCCTGCCTGAAGAAGCAAATGTTATCTGATAAAGGAATAACGAATACTTATTTATCTGAGTGAAAATCCATATGGAGGAAAGAGAAGAATAGTTGTCTCTATATTTCCAGGTGATACAAGAATGGTATACAATACCGACAAGATGAAATTAAGACACATGTGCAACATCTGGGTATCTTTATTGTAGACGTTTCGCCATCCAGTGGCTAGGACAACTACTACTACAACTAACCCATCTCTTTGGGTAGGACCTACTTCCACTGGAATCCCACCTACCAGTGACTATGCCCTCGTCTGCTACACATCCCATTTCCACCTGACGTTAGTATATAAGCGCCAGGCTCCTTGCTTCTGCATCAGAATCTCCACGACTACGGTGCTCTTCGCACCTACTCCTAGGTTGAGGGACTGATTACCTCATCTTCTGTACATAGTTCTACTGTCTTCAAGTTATGTCCTGGAATTTGTATTGATAAAGCCACTGGATGGCGAAACGTCTAAAATAAAGATACCCAGATGTTGCACATCTGTCTTAATTTCAGATCTGAAGGATGAAACTGGTAAGATTCGTTTGGAAACAGAACAAGTGTTTCCTAACACGGGTCTTATACATATAATGATCCACCTCAGGAGTCAAAGCCCCATTGGTAGATCATATTGCAATATTATGGTATATATGTAGATTTACCCTGTACTGTAATGACATACCTTTAAAGTTACATTGTACTTTGAATTAGGATGAAGGCCAAAAACTGTGTAACTGGTGATGTTAGGAGTAATGAGGCTGGAGACTTGATCGATCCAGGTCAGTTGGTAGGCTGTCAGCTCACCGTTCAACTCCTTCGGTTGGTCCCAAGACACTGTCAGGCTATCTCTGCTCGCTGATGTTTGATGCAGATTTGTTGGCTCTCCGGGTACTATGATTGTAAATTACACTTATCACAGGATGAATTGTCAAGAATATTACAATATCTTTCTATTTTACAACAATTTGCATATTCTTCGTATCTAGAGAAAGATCCATATTTGTAGATGAATGGTTCAGAGAACCGACATGTTGATAAATTAGACACATGTGCAACTCTTGGGTATCTTTATTGAGGAAACGTTTCGCCACACAGTGGCTTCATCACTCCATACAAAGGAGAATCTTGAAGAACAGGAGGAGAATGAGGTAATCAGTCCTTCAAGATTGATGGACTGACCACATCGACTCAAGGTTGAGGGACTGATTACCTCATTCTCCTCCTGTTCTTCAAGATTCTCCTTTGTATGGACTGATGAAGCCACTGTGTGGCGAAACGTTTCCTCAATAAAGATACCCAAGAGTTGCACATGTGTCTAATTATCAAGATCCATATTACTCTCTTGTTAAATGTAACAAGTGAAGACTTGAACTTGTTGAACATTTTTAAAAATCCTATGGTGATCAAAAATATATTCAATGGTGGAGATTTAAGTTTATTACAAGTAGGACATTTATGAGCTAGTTAAACATAAAGTAAATAAGAAAAAACAAAATAGAGCAGGATACTGTTTTTACAGTGAATACAAAGTTCGACACTTGTACTGTCTTGGAGAATACCTGGAGACGGTTTTGGGGGTCAACGCCCCCGCAGCCCGGTCTGAGACCAGGCCTGGGTAACCTTTCTTGCTGTCACATCGTATTAGTTCTTTACAAGGCAAGGAAGTAACTTTTCACACAGAACGGAAGAAGAATTAGACACATGTGCAACATCTGGATATCTTTATTGTAGACGTTTCGCCATCCAGGCGTAAACGTCTGCAATAAAATACCCAGATGTTGCACATGTGTCTAATTTGTCATCTTGTCGGTATTGTCTAACATTCATGTACAGAAAGGATGAAAAAGTGATGGCCTGGATCTTACCCGGGCTACCTCGAGGCTACACTCATTCAGCATAGTAAAAGTATAACCCTAATTTTTAAAGGGGTGGACCGGTAAGCCAGCGGAAGCCTCGGTCATATGACCAAAATTCCCAGCTGTGGGTCATCATATGACTAAGACCCACGTCATGAAGCACTTGTCCTGCTTTTCCTGATAAACCTGACCTATCCTAACCTCATTCAATATAACAAAAAGCTTTGTCTTGCAGGCTGGTCACTGTTGGGTTGACACAATGCTCGCTACTGCACAGCTTCCCTCGCCAAGTGAATGATGCTATAAGAAGATGGTCCAGGGTGAAGAATTGAGACATTTATGCAACATATGGGAATCTTTGTTGAAGAAAAGTTTCACCACACAGTGGCTTTATCAGTCCAATACAAAGGCGGAAGGTATACCTTCCGTAAGTTATACCTTCCTGCTTTGTATTGGACTGATGAAGTCACTGTGTGGTGAAACGTTTCCTCAATAAAGATTCCCATATGTTGCATAAGTGTCTCAGTTCTTCAGGGTGATGGTGGCAGAGATAGTGTCACTAATAACTCACCTGCCTGGTGAGTGGTTGAAGTGCAGCAGTTCCATTCGCCAACAGTGCTGTCAGCAACTACACCAGCTACACACACAGTGTAGTTTGTCCATGGTATTAAGCCGTCCAAATCAATATATGAGATTGCAGTTTCTGCAGTGTCCTCCGTGACGGTCGCCGACCACAGGACTTCTCCTGTGCAGTTAACCATGTAGCCATGAAGTAGACAATTTGTGTCGACTTCTGGCCAGGTGACAGTCAGTTGTTGAGGGGAGGTGGATGCTTTACAGGTTACTGACGGTGCTGGTGGACCTGTGAGAAAACGTCTGGTAATGCGAGCAGATTTATGGTCAAGCAACACTAGTACAGTCTACAAAGTCTCGTAAAAATTTCTGTTCTAATTTGTTTAGCTAATAAAACCACTTAGTTAATTTATAAGAGAAGTGGGAAAAATTGAGTAGACATTGCCATAATCTAAAACAGATTTTTTTTGAGCGTCATTTTTCATAATTTCCCCACATTATCAAGGACCCGCAAAAATATTACAACCGTAGAAGGCTTATAAGGCTGAGACATCACCTCATGTTCATTTCACCCGACCCATTAAGACGCGGGTGTATCAAGGACCTCTCATGACGCGGGTGTATCAAGGACCTCTCATGACGCGGGTGTATCAAGGACCTCTCATGACGCGGGTGTATCAAGGACCTCTCATGACGCGGGTGTATCAAGGACCTCTCATGACGCGGGTGTATCAAGGACCTCTCATGACGCGGGTGTATCAAGGACCTCTCATGACGCGGGTGTATCAAGGACCTCTCATGCGTAGCAAAAATTCTTCCCAAATTTTGTTAACTGTAAATTATTCTAATTTGTATAACTCTAAATTATTATTCTTTGATATTAATATGAAAAACAGTTTAGGGTTATACAAATTAGATTATAATTAATATAATTTAGGATGAATTTAAGCTATGCATGAGAGATCCTGGACTCTCACCAGCATCATGCTGGGTCGTGTGTAATGTCGCATGTCAGGTGATACCTCAGCCTTATAAGG